TCGTACAGAATCAGTATTCCGAAATCTGACACGATTCTCGGAAACGCATAAACTATCTCAGGGTGGTACTTGGCATGAGATGACCGGAGAGGCTTCTTGGCTCTGTGAAGATTTCCGCCCACCCCCCGTCACAGAGCCTTGGAAACTTGCCCGATAGGCTTCAGATAAACGCGACCGTATTGTGACTCCACTCGATTATAGTCTACAGGCTCCTTTTTATGAGTCATTAGAGATTTCAAGTTCGTTTTCGCTCTTTGTTCGAGTATAATTTTAATATGACATTATAAAGACATAAATTTAGTACGTGACTCATTTTCAGTTACACTAAGAATAATATTATTTAACTTTAAAAACTAATTTAATGAATGCTCCGACTTCTGTCGTGACAACGAAATTTATAGCTTTTAATTATAATCGTTAATTCCAGTTAAAATTCGTATCCATGCCTGGTAAAGAAAAAGTACATGGCATTTCAAAGTAAGAACACTTCAAAGAAGTAGTTAGTATGAAAAAAAGCATGATTGTAATATATTTAGGACAAAGTCTAATATTATACTGTACGTGGTGGGTAAATAAAGCGTCAGTCCTCATGTAAATACCTTGTCAAAGTAATGAAGGGGATCACAGGCCTCAGTCAGTCGCTTGTGACGTACGCGACCTTTATATATCCTTTTGCTGTATTCGGCAAGGAATGTGAGTGGAAAAAATAAAAAAAATTAAGTGTAGGTATATTTACATGTTGAATTATATACGTTGATTGATTAAACTAATACTGAATACTATGTTAAACATCTTTTAGATATTTTGTTTAGTACTAATATAATAAACATGGCATACTCTCTTTCATAGTTAGGTATATGATAAATGCGAATAACATTGATAGATTAATTTTAAAAGGGACATATGGCAGATATTGTTTTTCTTCATCATTACTTTAAATGGATTCCTTTGTCTAGATTAACATCCTGCTGATAATTCAACGGATAGACTGACGCCGACGGAAATTTGTAGCTTTGCCATGCCGGCGCCGAGCGAGCTTACGTTCAAATAACAATTTTAAATTATTATAAAAGATTCAATCTATAAATTTAACTATTTTAAGATATTATATTGTAATATTGATAACGTTTTCGACTCTCGTATTTATTGTGTGTTTGACTATCCGGAGTTTATCATGAAATTTCATGGCCACGTTATCAACGAGGCCGTTTTAACTTTTGTTCTGAACGACTAATGTTAGGAAGTAATAATTGATTTTTATAGCTAACAATAACACCATTAGTTTATATAAAATATTTCGTTTTCTCACACAGTCTGAGTATGATTCACATTAACTGGATGTATATTGGTGTTTTTTTCTTTGTACATCATTAGGTTCTTTGAAATCCGTTCAAGTTTTATGTAAATTTTATTACAATGTTTAAAACAGGTTTCGCTTCGTCGCTAATGTCTATGATCTATCAATGCCACCTTTCTACTTTATGTATGTATAATGTTACCTGGACTGGGGAATTATGAAATGCAAGGAATTGTTCAGTGTCCGTGTTCTCATTATGTTCCCTGGATATTCATGATGCCATGACTAAGTCCGCAGCCGACAAGTTGAAATGGTCTTGTGTAAATACCGGGTCTCAGTCAATGAGACAATGGCTTGGAACTGACGGTGGAGCTATGCGTGCATTTCAATTTCTCGGTTACTGTATAACAATTAATGTTAAGTAATAATTTCTAGGTAGCGTTCGTAAAGCGAGAGAATAATAGAAATTTATGTTAATTAGTAATCAATTGTTGACGAAAATTGAGATACGGCTATACCCAAAAATAATAATGAAACGCTTAAATTGTATGGTATTTTTAATAAACAGTTGTAATTGTATTATACCTGTAATTAAATAAAAACGCCACGTGACATTCTACCAAAATATTTGAAATATATGAAAAGAAAATGTTGGAATAGGAACGGGTCACAAATGATTTATCGGTCACGAATAAGATGTCCGATAAGCATATGTTTTCACGTTAATCGGCATTTAGATAAGGAGTTTTTATTTAACGGCCGGCAGCGAACGGGCTTAAAACTAAACAAAACTGTTTGTTAAAAGCCGTTTTAAAATATAGAGCAATTAAATTCTATTGTGTTTCTACATACGTTTATAGTTACGATAGCATTCTGACTACGCTTATGTAATTCGACTCCCATATTATCTAGATCATAATATTATTTTATTTTATTTAACAAATTAAAACCGTGACATCAGAGCAGTGAATTTTTTATTCTTAATACAAAAAATATAATTGCATCCATGTAAATGAAATCGTTACAAACAGTTCAACGATTTAAATCAAATTCAATATTGTTCGAGAGCGTAAAAGGTTTTTTTTAATGGGTATGTTGGATGCACAGCTGCATCGCATCCGGGCCCGACCCCGGCTGCCTCAACAAATACAAGTGTTCTAGCGTCACGGCCGACGTTAATTTGAGAACTCTTTATCAGCTTTGCCTGGTATTAAGTATGTGACTATGTACCCTAACTGACTGATTGAGATTCTCATTTTTTGTTCCATTCAAACTGATATCCAATGTCCTCTGAGTAAACGTATATCGTTTTATGGTAAAAGTTATGTCCAAAATTTACTTAACAATAAAAACTGGTGATCTGAATTTTTTTTACTGCCCCGCAATAAAACACGAAACCGACGAAGACTGCCTGGGGTTTATCGTTCTTGTGAGACGAAACTAACCGGAGTTGTTAATGTGACTTTTCCGCTTCTTCAACTAAAACATGGCTTTGAAATTTATAACTGAGTAAACTTTAAACAAACGCTGATCAAAAGATATCCTGAGGTTTATATACTAATGTTTGTTGTTGTTTACGACTTTATTTTTTTCTGCTATTCGTGACGCTGTTTCATTTTAAATTCTATATGAATATACCATGTTTACAGACAACTGAATAATTATGTCGAATCGGACTTGAGTTGAACGTGAGATTTCACTTTTTATAATCTCTTATCTAATAATAATCTTGATAGTTTAAAAGTCTATTAAGCATTTGTATAATGGACGAGCCTTTGATTTATAAATAATAAATGAACTGTATGCGTCCTTTTGATACTTGCTTGTATGTATTATATGTATTTCGTGGTTGAAAACTGAAGATAGTTTTAATAAAATATCAGGTTGCGTCATAGAAATTACACAATAAGTAACACGTTTAGTTATAAGTATTTTTGTAAGATGGTGCCCCCCAGACCAATGATATTTAATTGTATTTTGTTTCTATGTTCGTGTAAATAAGACATGCGCCATAGAATCCTATGATGTTGTATAGGGGATGGAATCTCTGCCCCTCTGTAAATAATTACGTCTGCCCGTTGCGACGCCACAAGGGCTCATTTCAAACTCCCTCGCTATAACGTTTTTATGTTTCCTTTGCAAAGCTCTACGAGTCCCCCAAAAAATGGATCTCCCATCTATATTCCTTACATTAATTATCCTCATTACTGGATCTACGAATTTTAATTGTCACCAATTGTTTGATAATTCAATGATGTTACATTTTCTGACTGTAATTATGTGATGCAATTTTAGTTTATGGATATCAGTCAAAGTCAAATTTGAAATAAATTTATATCGCTCATTCCGTATAATGTTCTAAATGTAATTTACAGAAATAAAATTGAGAGATATTTTCGAATTGTATAAGTGTGTATTCTTTTCAAAGAGAAACAAAGCTAGTTCTTATATCTTTTATATTCTAAACATATTTTTATTAGATGTTTGTAGGTAGGTAGGTATATTGAATACAACGTAAAGCTTCCGCTACACAGTACGTGCATTTTGCAGTCTCTTAGGAGCCGCTCCTTCTAGCCTCAGGTATTCTCTCTGTGTCGCAAAAAAATAGGTCAAAATCTACCTGACTCCAAGTTATTTATTACTGCATGCATCTCTAGTAACGGGTCTTGTTCTTATAGCGTTCAGATTTTTAATATACAATAAAGTAAAGTTTTTACTGTCGGTTTTATTATAGAAGATTTTCTTACTTAAAAAATTCTCGTTTGTTTAAACGTTATCAATTTTATGAACTGCAGAATTTTGACTTATATTGTCGAAAACAAGCTATTTTATTAAACAGTATTTGTAAATTTTATTTATCACTTAAACGGATTTCACCGCCGTCAAGCTACTCAATCGAATTCTGTAAAGAAAAAATTCACAAGAGATGTTTTTGCTACATCGATTTTCAAATGAAACATAAGTAAGTATGTTTTATCAGGCGTACAGTTCAAAGAGTAACCGCAACAAGTGCTACGTCTATAATTTAGGTAATGGCCTCCCGCGGGTAGGAGATAAGCAGCGGTATTCGGATCCTGTCCACGGGGAGACATTCCGGACCAGTAGTCCTCAACCCCCTAGAGTGGGTGGTGCGACCCATCCAGAGGTCACCACACCACCGTACCTACATACATACATAAGAAGAACCTTACCATATATTTGACTTTCCATACCAAACATATATATATACATTATTCGGACGACTTAATTCACTTATTTATATTACCAAGATAAAATGTATACTTAATAACGGATATTAAAATTTCGGTAACTTCGAAACAAGAAGCATTTAAAAGTAAGGTTTTGTACTCATTAGCGTTTTGGTCGCAACGTGTTTGTTTGCGAAGTCCTATTTGTGCCGTAATGGTCCAAACCGCTGCGAATTAACGCCGTGCGATTATGCAATGTGCGACTGATGGTTGTACATCTATTGCAGAGATTATTATGCTTGCACGCTTTTAAAGTGATTAATACCATTTGTTAAATATGTATTTATTATATTATTTGCATGTTACATTAAATATTTTGACTTGCTTGTGAAAACAAGAATGTAATCGAAAATATAATCGAAAGATTACTGTAATATTTTGTTGGGATGATATAAATGAAGTTTTTATGAATATTTGAGTCCAACAAAAACAAAGAATTTCCTAAACAGTAACAGCTATGTGATCACGGAACTTCTGCAGAGTGACCTGCACAAGATTATAGTTTCGCCGCAACACCTCTCAGCTGACCACATCAAAGTCTTCCTCTACCAAATACTAAGAGGTATGTATTTAATACCACATATAAAATTATATAAGCTCTAAATTTTGCTTTCAAAATGTGCTCGAAACTTTGAATTCTATAAATTGCAGTTTAAAACAAACCAACTCTCCGGAGTCTAGCGTCCATGACCGGCTCGAAGTTAAGGCGGAATCTACCTTTATACCGGCTTTTTCCATTTCCACCTAGCTTAAATCAATTAAAACTACTAAGAGCCCAAACTCTCCCCAACTAAATTAAATGCAGAAACTTCTCGGCCTCGTTCCTACTTCAGTCTTTTTTTTAAATTTATTACAAGCGGTTAAAATCATTGTAGAAGATAAAAGCGAATCCCTTTTTATCTAACGCCGTCACCCGATTTCATATTATTAATTCCAGCAATTATTTCTGCTATGCTAAGAGATTTCCCTGGAGTGGAACGCGCGAAGGGAATCTAGAAAAATGCGGTCGTTAAGCTCCCGTCTCTCGCAGTTTAATTAAAAAGTTTAAAGTTGCTTCACTACTAACGTTCTGGGCTAAAAGGACAGGCGTCCTTTGAATGCACCTTCTCCTAAATATCGCGTAACTCGTTAAATTCTTCGGTTTTTCCTGTAATGATACCATCTTCTTGTTGTATTTGATTCTTAATCAAATGACATATTATACTTAGTTTCAAAGTTAGTTAGTTCATGGGACTATAGAATGATAAAACTATTTTTGTAAGTATTAATAAAAATTATTCATCTCATATTTATGATTACAATTTTTCGCATATCCTAGGCCTATAAATGAGAGTTTTGTCATAAAATAAAATTTTTCAATATCTTACATATATTAATTAAATTGAACGTAAGAGACACAATCTTCCTTTATTTCTATCCTACGACGAATACTTTGATACGGCTGAATGGATTTTAATTGGATTTTCGCTAAAGTATGCACGAACTTCTGCATAACATAGCTTATGTGGCATCATAGACTTTTAGAAACCGCTTAAAATATACAGAATGAAAGTCACGAACCATAGCTAGTGAATGACATAAATATGTACAATGGTATTTAGAATTTTGTAACAGTTGTAGCTGTAAAATAAAAAGTAAAAAAATATATATATCAACCTTCAAATAACATTTCGAGGCTTTTTTCTTATCTGTTTGTTAATGTACGGCATGAACATGTGGTGATTATGAATAAATTACCATGAACGTTTTCGATGAAACCAATATAAGAGAATACGAAATTGTCGAATTAAAATGAGTTAGGAATTTAGTAGTTCAGTTGATGTGCACTTTGTTTTTAAATTATGAATAAGAAATATAATTTTATTACGTACGTCTGTTAAGTATGAAAATACAGAAGAACGTAGCAAATGTATTGAATTATAGGTTTGTTTGAAGTTCAAAACGATGACATATTTTTTGTCTATTTTATATTAGCTGCGGTATTTTGGTTACTTCAAATGTCAGTGTCTCAAATACCAACCAAAATTCAGTATAAATCAGTGTCGTGTACTCGGGAAAGTTTACGCATCGATGGTTCAAGTTGTCAGCAGTAGAATTGGATACGTAATAGAGGGCATGTTAATGTAGCTAGTATAGCGATTATATTAATAATGTATGTGATGTCCCAGCTAGGAACAAGCTTAACATAATGCACAGGTAGATACATATACAATGTATATACGTCCGCGTTGATCCTTGACATATTTACTGTTATGTATGCCGTCTTATTTGCTTGTTATTTTCATATGTATTAGTCCGAGAGCCAGTAACAGATTTATATGACCAAGTTCCTCTCAAGTGATAATTAGTAAAACGTATCAGAAAATCGAACTATAAAGCCTCGTGAATGTCAGCTGAGGCTCGGTGGGGGGGATGAGCAGTTGTAACCTCCCACGCTTGAAGAAAAAAAAATAAATTCACTCATTTCCTCTCAGCTAAAAATTTACCAGATGATAGCTTATATGTAACTATTGATAAATATATACGTCAGCTGGCTGTATCTCGGTGGAAAAATCGTCAGCTGATACTTTAAAGGTCGTTACGTAGAAGTTGGCCAGAAGCATTTACTGACTATTTAAAGGCATCAGCTGACCAGGTTTCCCTTGACTTATTGCTAGCTGATTTTTTTTATTTATCACAGTATTATATTTAAAATCAGCTCACAAATTTTCGTGTGGGAGGAAATGACGTCTTTTTAATTATTCGGCATAGCACTCCAATATGAGTATTGAGGTGAAACAAATATTCCATATCAATATTTTTTAGACTTATAAGTCTAAAGTATGTATATAATCATATAATTTATGTCTAAAGTATGTATATAATCATATAATTTATGTCTAAAGTATATATAATCATATAATTTTAGATGTATTCCAATATTTCAATAATCAATTTGCTTAGTATAAATTAACTAGTTAATTGATAAAAAATATTTATTATAAATAAATTATGACAAATTACAATTTAAATGAGAATGTTATTTAATCATTTTCGGCTTCGCTTTGGCTTGAGTCACAACCATCTCTCTCTGATTCATTGCCCGAGTCACTGTCAGAGCTGTCTGCTGTTATACATATTATCATCGTGATCATCTGTAAAATAAAATTAGAATGCGTATTTTAGCATAATATCATTAATATGATAATAAAATGTTACCTTTTTCGGGCTGGATAGTTATTTCATCGATCGATGTTGGTAACTGACTTCCAAAGAACCAGGTAAACTCAATTTTATTGTCAATTTCTTCCCAACCCTAGTCTTCCGGATCATCAGCAGTTGGAACCTTCAAGCGTGCATTTGACCAAATTTGAGTAATATAGCTTGCTCTTAAAAATTGCTGATATAGCTCTGACTCGCAAGGTGGTAGAGAAGAGCCATCAATACCTTTCTTTGGTAACTTGAATGTCTGCGTATCCAAGAATTTATATGTTTTTTCAAACAACGCCACTCTTGCCTCATTGACCTTTTTCAGGCGGTTAAATCCATACATATTACAAACGAACTCTTGAATTTTCTCAAAAATGTTGTCTCTATTGTCTAATGATTTTGACATTTGGATGAAACACCCGATGAAATCATTCGATTTAGTCATCATTGAAAATGGTCGTTTTTTTTCTTTTCGAAAAACATACCTTAATACTGTTTATGCTACACTAGCGTGTGTTGTTTAAATTTTTAAAAAATAACAAGAATAATTAAAGAGGCCTTATTTCCTCCCACACGAAAATTTGTGAGCTGATTTTAAATATAATACTGTGATAAATAAAAAAAATCAGCTAGCAGTAAGTCGAGGGAAACCTGGTCAGCTGATGCCTTTAAATAGTCAGTAAATGCTTCTGGCCAACTTCTACGTAACGACCTTTAAAGTATCAGCTGACGATTTTTCCACCGAGATACAGCCAGCTGACGTATATATTTATCAATAGTTACATATTAGCTATCATCAAGTAAATTTTTATTTGAGAGGATATCACTGAAAGTGAAGATTTTTTTTTCCATGATCTAGACATCAGCTGACGTACAATGCACCATGTTATAGCCAGCTGATTTTTTTTTTGTTGAGGTATTGGGTTAGCTATAACTTGATAAATTTTTAGCCGAGAGGGAATGAGTGAATGTATTTTTTTTTTCTTCAAGCGTGGGAGGTTACAACTGCTCATCCCCCCCACTGTGCCGCAGCTGACGGTCGTAGGGCTTTATGATACTATTGTCTGATGCCTATCGCCAATTATCTATCGAGAGGAAATAATTGACCAAATTTTCACCTGGCTCTCGGACTATATTACAAATACTATATATACAAAAAAGTACGTATTTTTGTTAGTTCTTTTTACTTATTCAAAAGTGTTAGCTGAAAGTCGTGCGTATTCTACATATTAAAGTTCATTTTGTTACAACAAGTATTTTCATACAAAAGCTTTTAGTAATTTGTATAAAGTAAGTCTTTGAATGCTGTTAACTGTCCGAAATTTTAGTAATCTGTTCGTCCACGAGCCTAATCCGTAACGAGGGACGTTTAATCTCCTTAACGACATGTGGTGTGACTTAAATATTTAAGTTTTATTATATTTTTCTTACTATATAATGAAAAAATATGCTTGGGACAGACAAAGTAATTTGTATGAAAACTGGCTTCGTAACAGTGATATTAAATTTTAGTAAACGTGGTCATTATTTATGTGAAATTTAAACTATGAAGATAGTAAATGTATACAACAGTGACAAGTTAAACCAACTAACCAGACAACCGCAGTGAGGACGCTGTGTAACCAAATATCTGAGAAAGGATATTGTGAGCCGTCCTGCAACGGTCTCTGTGTTAGCGTTAATTTCGAAAGGCTGACAATGTGCGTGAGAATGCATGTTTGCTACCAATGGTACTGTTATATCTCTCGACCGCCGTACACTAAATGAAATTTTGTTTGAACGTCTCATATTCACTTTGGCTTCATTATTTTTTGAATATACTTCATACTGGAGTATAAATTTTGAATTGTGTTTTGACATATCAAGGAACTACTTTAAATAATGTATTTGGTAGGGTTTTATATATAAAAAAATAACAATATATCTATAGTCCAATATAAAGCCCGTTTATAGGTGTCGATGGCTAAGTTTTAAAGGTGTTTAATGAATGTTGACCGAACGAGTAAAGAGAAGCGTCGGTGCATTGTCCAAGGACTAGCGGATGGTTTGGTCCCGGTTCGTTGCGCACGCGCTACGGACGACGACCTGCTCCATTAATAAGGCTGTGTTTCCACCTGAGACCTTTTAATATATAGAGAAAGTCGATTTGCAATATAAAAAGAATAATTCTTAGAATTCTCTTTACCTTTCATATACTTTTTTTTTTGCGTCGTTTTACTCTATTATATGTCTTTATGCCTATGATGTCTTGCTTGGTTGTTTAATACGCAGCTATAAAACGTTTCATACTATGACGAGATTCAAAATATACGTTGATATAAAATAATAAATACTATGGCCAAATACAGTACACTCCCGGAAGTGTAGTAGCGATTGCGGCAAGCTTCATATAATACGGCAATATATGGTGCTGTAAAGTTGCCACGTACCGTTAGCCTAATCGCCAGCTTTAATATCACTGACTTAACTGACGACTGACGCATAGCATGAGATTGAATGTTAACCTCTCGAGGCTAGTATCAAGGTATTGGAAATAACTGTGAAACTAAACTAAAATATAACTCTCATGGCTAAAATAGTTCCTTTGTTCATATGTTCTGTAATTTTTAAGCATGATATACTAAAGTTTGCTAGCAGTTTGTATCTTGGGATGCTAACAGGTTTTTGTTTAATCACAGTTTTGTGAATTTAGACTGTCCGTTTACAACAAAGTCAGAAAGCCGTCACGATTTGTGTATGAAAACTGTACATCCGTTGGGAAATTAAACTCTTGGCCGTTGATGTGTCGTTAATATGTTTTGACGTCCCAACCAGGTAGGAAAGCCTCACTCGAGTTGTTCATCCGTGTAAAGAATATAGATTTATATTTCACCCTATTCTGTTACCCTTGAAAGGTTTGGAAATTAATCAGTTTATATCATTTTCAATAGATAAATTTGTATATTGAAACAAAGAACATTTTTGCCATCTAATATGTAGGATTAAGAAATCTGAAGTCTGCAGGGAATGTTGACTTGTGCATAAAGAATAAACCTTGTCCTTTTCGAATAATTTGGCTATATATAAATTATATAACTAAAGAAATTATTGCGTATTACTTTTAGTTTTTTATTGGGTCGTAGAGAGCGCGACGAAGTAGATTTCGATATGACGGAATTAGATTTTTATTACATCTGCCAGATGCGACCTGAAAGTAGTTCTAGGCGGTTTAATTGTCTCCTATTAAAATCAAGACTTAGAATACTCATCTTAAATAACTATGAAATAAAATTATCCAACTAATTTTTCTTTTAAATTAAGTTGTATTAATTCAAATAAATCTTTCTCATTAATAATTCATCTCCTTTATACGATAAATCTTTATAAAGTAATGTGTATTTTGAAATGGTGAAAAACCAGCTGTAAACGATAGACTTGACTATTTTCATGGGTTTACAAGACACTAAATGATAGAGTATGATGATCACTGGACACGATTTTCTAGGAAATTATTAGGTGTGTTCTATGCACGATTCGCTTTGGAGATGACTAACAAAGGTTGTTATGAAGGTAACTGCCGGTCTTATAGATATAAATTTCAAGCTTCAAATATTATACAAGAGAAGAACATATTTAAAATGTGTATACATAAGTTTTCCTTTTATACTATTTGAGATGCAGCAAGTTTATGTTACATTTTTTGTCATCAGGTTTGAAATACCTTCATTCCGCCCGCATTCTTCACCGCGACATCAAGCCGGGGAATCTTCTAGTGAACAGTAATTGTGTTCTAAAGATATGCGATTTTGGTCTAGCAAGAGTCGAGGAGCCGGATGTCACTAAGAACATGACACAAGAGGTCGTCACACAGTATTATAGGTAAGCATTGAATTATATTTCTTATAGAAAGATTTTTTCGGAGCTTCAATTTCAAATCTACATAGAAGTTTTCATCCAGGAAGTCGCAAAAGGATTCCAATCACGAATCTAATATGCTAATACGTCACAGTCAGCTCAGGTCATTGTCCAAACACGGATGGTCCATTGTCATCGAGGACACCGAACGGGAGTTGGTCGTACTTGAACAAACAAAATAATATTATCCGCAAAAAAAATCGATATGTCATTTAAAAGATTGTTTTTCACAAGTATAGAATTCGCCTTTCTCCGCTATTTTTATACTCACGAATACCTTACGGATAGTGCAAAGCGAACAATACTTATAGAGTAAACGTATAAGTAATTCGATTTGTTCTCGTTCCAACCAGCACTTTCTTTTTCGCGTGTTCCTCATAAACCTCGTATTATATTAGTATTGTGGATGCGGGGATCCACCTTTATTATATTTGCTTTTTATCCGGGAAGCTAATACATAAATTTCACTTTGCTTGGTTATTTTTTTTTTGACGCAAGACTGCGAATCATTTGTAACTGTCATAAAGAATTACTCGTTCGAGTTAATATTGTGCAGTTTATGAAAGTAAATAAAATATTTATATTATACTTCGATTTTGGTATAAATATGTAAAAAAAATAAGATTATCTTATCTGTGTAATAATTATATAATTTTTTGTAATATTAGAGTTTTATAAGCGTACCTTTAAAAAGAAATTTCACTAGGCTATATAGTATTTTTATGCTAATTTCTTAATATGTAGTCATGTAAGGTGAAGTGAAGGTGATGCGTGACCTTTACACCGCTGACCACTATTTTGAAAGTGGGCCACGGCTAGCTCATCTAACTTAATATATTTTCGTGATACCTAACCAAATTACAGCGCGATGTGTGTTTGAAATGCGAAACTAGTATTCTCGACTCACAAATGGATATTGGAAATCTTGCCCGTAGAAAACACTTCGAGGAGAATACGATATCACATGATTTGGCTGTCATTGAAATACATATATATACGTAACAAAATGTACATATGTATTATATTAGTATGTACAATTAGTAAAATTTATTTAGCTTTGATTTATAAATATCGAAGGAATGGTCGTCATAAACAGAATTATGTATAATAATTCATTTAGAAATCTTATTGCATGTAATGTAATATTTTCAGAGCTCCTGAAATTCTAATGGGCGCGAATCATTACACGGCGGCGGTAGACGTATGGTCGGTCGGTTGTATTTTTGGGGAACTTCTAGGGCGACGCATTCTGTTCCAAGCGCAGAGTCCTGTACAACAGGTTTGTATTAAAAATTAATAAAGCTGGTAATAAATATTCCGATATTTATAAAATATGTTACAAATATAGAATTTACGACGTCAAAGAGAACACGGAACTCGCCTAATAATTGTGTCATTTACAGAATGCTTTGTGCAAAATAAATTGAAATTTTATCCAATATTTCAATACAATTTAATTACACAAATATTTCGACAAATAAATAGCATTATTTTTGTTTCCGATTTTTTTAACGTTTTTTTGGTTTATTTGTCTAATTCCAAAAAGTAGTTTCCAAAGAAATGGAAAAAAGTATTATGAATCTCTGTCTTCATTCAATTGAGTATTATATTAATTACTATTATTTAGTTTATATATTTTATATTCATTTTTCTTCTAAATCATTTCAGCTGGAGTTAATAACCGAACTGCTTGGAACTCCTTCGTTGGAGGACATGCGGTATGCCTGCGCAGGCGCACGTGCCCACATGTTGCGACGAGCGCCGCGGCCCCCAGCGCTTGCAGCGCTTTACACTCTATCCGTACAAGCGACTCACGAGGCTGTACATCTATTAGCGCAGGTTGAATATTTATATGAAAGATTTATTAATTAAAACTTTGATAGCTTACTTTGCCATATTTATTGCAAGAAAAGCGTATTACTTTGAGAGGTATTTTGTTTTTGTTTCGAGGTATTTAAATAGATGTATATACTTTGAGAGGTGTTAAACTTTCCTTTTTCGTTTTGGATGATTTTTGGAATGATATAAGCAATTAGTTCAAATACGATAAGTATTATTATATAATTTGAATTTAACGAAAGGAATAGATATAGTTTTCTGACTAGCAGAATTCTTTAAACAATAATACAGTTATAGTCAAAGTTACAGTATTACAGTAAAAGTTTTACGAGAGTAAGTGGTTTTCTCTTTAAGTTGCTAGCTGAAGTATTACGCTCAGTTTAGTAATATCGGATCGCGGAGATTTGGAATATTTCCGACCCGTCAGTTACAAAACCACAGATCGCTATAAATATATAAGAACATTTTCTATGGATTTGAACAAAAATATATACCTGTCAAAACCTTTTTCCTTATATAGTTTCACTGATCACATTTTTAATAAAACACGTGCGCCCTTACACGTGTTTCTTTAAGTCCTACTAAATTGGACACGTATACCCTGCGATGCGAAAAATTTGAAATTAATTATGTTTTGGTTTATACATGTGGTATAACATTTTCAATGAAGAAGCAATTATTTTTATATTTTTCTTTGTATAACTTATTGATTATATAATTAAAGCTATCATTATACATATAAGCATGTAATATATAAGAAAGTTACGTTAAAGAATTATGAATTATGTTCTTATAACTTATTTTGTCTGATGTTTAAATTTGCGTTTTAAGTCTAGTCCATTCTAAATGTTTTAAATGCAAAAAGCATAATAGAACAATATGATCCTATCTTCTTGATCTGTCAATTCGAAATTTTACCAAAAACCCCGCTAAAAAGATTCCAAATTAACACTATATATTATATATCTTCCAGATGTTAGTATTCGATCCAGCGAAGCGTATAACAGTGGTGGACGCGCTAGCACATCCGTATTTAGAGGAGGGTAGACTTCGTTATCACTCGTGTATGTGCAAGTGTTGCTATAGCGCCCCTCCAGCCGCTAGGCACTACTCGCCTGACCTTGAACCGGTCGCACCACACGCCTTTCACGACGGCTGGGAGAGGAAACTCACTTCTGTACATCAGGTTAAAGGTTAGTCAAGAAATGGTCTTGTTCTTCAGGTTTTTTGAGGTGTTACCCGCGGATTTCCGGGATGTAAAGTAGCCTTTATGTTATTCCTGGACGTCAGCTTCCTGTATACAAAATTTCATCAAAATCGGTTCAGCCGTTTGAGCGTTCAGAAGTAACAGACATACACACACACTCACAAACTTTCACAATTATAATATAAGTAGGATATAGCTGGCGTTTACATATAGCGCTTCTCTTTTAAGATTCTTTTTTTTTGAACACCGATTATAAATAATATTTGGGTTCGATTGGGATAAAATGTGTTTGATATTGAAAATTTTAATCCTTATCAAAGGTGATGCTGTTTGGTATTTTTTTATGAAGAGGAAAAAGAACATGTTCCGTCATATACAATTTGTAGAAAATAATTTGTTTTGTATTAATTTATGTATGAATTAATTTTAAAACTTGACTCCAAATTTCTTGCTCGCTGATATAATTTATAGAATGTTCTCTAAGTAGATTACTGTCAAACGTTCAATTTATTTGTATACACGATTTCAAAATCAATAAAATATATCTGAAAGGTATTTTCGAAAAAAAAATACCTTGTTGACTTTCACATCTACAACATTATAATATAACACAATGAAATTTTTGTCACACAAATTGAATAATCTCATCGAACCAAAATGCTATTGACAAATAAAAAAGTAATAATACTATACACCATACATAACATGCATTTATTAAAATTTCCAGAAGAGATCCACAAGTTCATAGCGGAACAGCTCCAGACGTCCCGCGTGCCGCTGTGCATCAACCCACAGTCCGCCGCGTTCAAGAGCTTCGCAAGGTAAGACGGCGCCGGGACAAGCGACACTAGGTGATTTCATTGCATTATAACCTATGCTGAATACTACGGCCGGTCGATAAATTACCACATCGGTATAGTCCGCTGAAAATTACCCCAGGGTATACCAAATATACCATACCATAGTATACCAGGGTATACCAAGTATACCATAGGATTATATACCAAAATCACCCCAGGGTAGGGGTAAGATAATTCTCAAGTTATCTATTAAATATGTATCTATGTAATATTTTGTATTAGTATATTTTTATCGACCGGTCAGAGTGAGTAAGCGCCTTACGCTGAGCTATATAGCGACCACCCGCACTCATATTCGGCCAAGCTACTGTTGACGTGTCGACAACACCCTATAATATATATACAAATATATTGTACGTCAGTAAGTCTCCCACTAATGTCTGGTTGTCCGCACGTCTCTCAGACGATAATAAAACGAAGTAATCATCACAACTCGTGGCAGCGTGTCAACTGTTAGTGCACGTCAGTCACATATCAGCGGTATATTATATTGAATTGATAATTATATCGATGTTATTGATTAATTGCGATAGTTAAATGGTGGTCGCAAAACAATGCCCATACGAATCCCGACCCCTCCCACCGATATCCGTAGTATTTTTGTAATGTTGGTAATTTATTTTGTATTGTAACCGATTCTATTTGGACCTATTTGAAAGTCCGATATTTTTGCATGGTTTTTATTTTTGTTGATACCTACTTTTGTCCGCTTCAGAGCGTGTTAACCACCGCAGTTGGAGCGATATCAACCCTCTTGAAATGGTGGTTAGGTTGTTTTATTATTAGCATATATAACTTTCTGATTTTGTTTTCTGTGTTTTGCGGCAGCGTTAGAGCCAGTCCGAAGGCAAAAGTTTGTTCCCCTTTCAAGACCGCCGCTAAATATCTGCTGCTATCGCCAGTGATATTTCTGTGCGCTGCCTAGCGCGGTCACGCCAGTAAGAACGCACGCTATATTGTGATGTCCGATTATATCTGGACGCCGTTCGACAAGGCAATGAAATATATATAGAGATACATTGATGAATTTAAAGTTGTTTACTTTGGTTACCAGATGGCGTGATTGCCTTCGCGAATGGACGTTCTATATTTCAAAAGGGTTGATCGTTGGATAGCGTCCGTCTCGTATTGGGTCGTTTTTGCATGTCCTATAAAGTTTTTTGTCCAGAATGTTGTTTTATTAAAGTTCTTTATTATGTATTATTGAAATATATCTCTTAAGCTTCTGTTCTCTCGCTCAAAATTCTTGTATGAAACAAAATTTACGAATTCAGAATAATAAATTGCAACTGAATTATTATTGTTTGTAATTGAAAAATGATTAACGTTGCATCCGTTATAATAAATCTGGCTTCAGCTTTATCGTTACAACACGTAGTGCATGTGTAGTGTTCGAGGACGGTGCCGACACGGTTGTGGTGATTCAGTAGATGTAGTTTTGAAAGTTTTATTATCAGTGCATGGTCTAATATGGCCGCGTGTCTGTGTGATACGCGGCCGTGTGGGTGTCACGTGCGGTGTGTAAGACGGCCGCTGTTGCAGCTCCACGGTCGCGCACCCATCAGAGCTGCCCCCGTCGCCGCACCAGTGGGAATGACAAAAGACCGCCCCCAATGACGCCAGGTGACCGCCATATTGGCCGACGTAGTTAAATGTCATCCATATCCATCATCTGTCACATTCACCTGTCATAGATTACGTCATCCGTCAGTCTCAACTGACACAGATTATGACGTGACAGTTACATCTGTCATAGATTAAAAATGTCACCTGTCATAGATTATAAATGTATTGAAGAGTTTTTTCTGATTTGTATTCAGAATTCTTTATTGTATTGGTTTATCAAAGTGTATAAAATCGGTGACAGTTTTGTTTATTAATCAATAAATGCATTTCAAACCTGCTCAACTGTAAGTCTTATGTATGTCTGTGGCTATATATTTGTCCAGATTTAACAAATGTGTGATGTTCGTTAACACGATAGGTCTCCTATAAATTAAAATGATTTATGAATATATCTTGAATGTTTTGTATAAGAGATTATAAGTATAGCATTTAGATGAATAGCGAGACATTGACGGTTAATTAGATGCTAAAACTGTATTTGTAATTAACATTCGATGTAATGATTATTATTATCATACGATTTCTATTAATTAAATATATGTATAATCATACGACCTCTCTTAAAAAGTTAAATGAATGTTATGTAACAGTAATAATGTATTCGATTTTTTAAATTATAAGTATTCATAATTAACTGTCACCTTCACAAATATTATGCTGTTGATAATTGAGAGAATATAATAACTACGCTATATGGCTGTCAATGTGGTTCGTTCTATGGAGTACCTAATCTTAAACGATTACACTTATTTTTATATATCATTGTTCGAAGATAATACTTATCGGACCGTAACGAATAATTACCAAATATTAAGGCCTTTATAAAAATTAAAAAAAGTAATAAAATTAGTCAAGTAGGTTATCGGTATGTTAATTGTTAAACGCAAGGGAAGGTTCTGAGCCGGGATACGATTGTGACGGATTATGAATACATTCACTGTTGAATATAGATTCATATGAGAAGTTTATACGGTAACGATGTATTGGCAGTGAATGTACCGTGATTCGTGTTTTATAGATGAATTTATACAACGAAAGAGAATCGCAGATCACATAGCAGAATAACCTACAGTATGTAATGGATATACCTCGATATGTAAATTAAGGCTTCGTAGGTGATGAGATTTCATCTATATTTGCGATTCTATGTAGACGCGTGTATGTCAGTAGGTTTGTGTGTGCCTGATTACGTATGGTGATTGCAAGCAATAAATGTTGCAATATTGTAATCGTATTCGTTTTGGATTTTATTATATTTGTGTTGTACTATAAGGTCGTGTACAGACGGCGGTGTCATACTCAATGTGAGTTTTTAGTCCATCTGCCACGAAGAATCTCGACTAACGGTCGTGTGTACACGGCCTTTATATTTTAAGCTTACTATTAACACCATTGTATGTAACATCGACTGAACATTTTTACGTAGCTAGGTTAGATTATATTATGAATTGAAAGCAGACAAGTAATAGTTGGGTGATTTATACTAACTTTGGTAACAGTAACTGATACATATATTACAAGCATTTATAGCGTACTAGATTTATATATACAGGTGTCTTAGTGTGCGTGACTTAATGTATTATAGGGATATGTTTGTGAAACGATATCTATGTGTGTGTGTTGATTAGCACGCTGATTTATAAAGGTAACATAACATGCGCGTGTCGGGAGACGTAGCCTTAAAACTAGTTCAAAGTTATATGAAATATTATTGAGAAAGAAATAGTTTTTTTTTTGGTGTAAATAAATAAGTGCGTAGTTATATTTAGGCTCTAGTGTGATTGATATAAGCCGTTGTATATTCCGCTCTCGTGTTGGCTAACTGTCCGTTGTATCATACGTTCAGCTTTAAAGCGATTAGCGCTTGATGCAGCGATCGTTTGATACATCGGATTTGTTCGATGGTACAAAATGGTAGTGTTCGCCGCTAATACAGCTGGGATATTCAGGATTTACTTTATATATATCCATATACGATTATATTGATTCAACATCGATTGTTTAATCGATATAATAATCTGTCGATGTTTCTCAGCTGTTTGCGCGCGACTCACATAGGTCCCACCTTGCCTTAACTCAGAAAACTGTCGCTGTGATCCGTTAGGCGTTAATTATTGGAAAAAAACCACAACATACACTGTGTGAATTGTATAGAATTATAATCCATTTTTTATTATTATTATTATTACGTACGCTTAGTAACGCCTGTATAGTATAGTTGTATTTTCGCTGACGGCGTTTAAACCGACTAAGATGTAAATAAGTTGTGTTCACTATTCACCACGTTTAATAGAACAGTTCTCTAATCTATGTAAATGTATTGAGTTTCCAGACTTTCAGAGATCTCGTATGTTTTAAGATAATCATTCGCGACTTTATTTAGTTGGTAGCGTGGTATAATTTGTTTGACACGCCTCGTCGGTACTCGTGACGTTTCACATATTAAATGTATATATTAGTTAAAACATAAGATTCATGACTTAGTTAATTTTAAGCCTGTGTAAGTTTATTTGTGTTCTCTGTTTATAATTTAATAAAAATGCAAAAAAAAAGATAAAACTACGTACGACAGTAAGACGTTAAGACTAAGATTTCATTTCGACTTCATTTACCGTTTGTATTGTACATAGTAGGTATTCTTGCACTGATTTTTATTTTTAAGTTACTCTAACATAGTATTAAATGAAATGGCTGTATTGATAATTGTAACGTACATGTCTTTTTAAGATTTTTCGCTTCCGACGTGTATGATAGTTTCTTTTTTCTATTTTTAACTGATTTTCATTCAATTTTTTTCTAGTTTTGGTTTATTTTAAACGATGTAAATATATTTGATACGTTTTTTTTTCAATACGGAGTTAGTTGCGTTTACCATTTTTGCAAACTGCCAAAACTAATTTAATAATTTTGTAGCATACGCCACGGCGGCACGGATAATACACACCCTGTCTTAAAGTTGACGGTTTTAACGTATTTTATATATAAAAGACATTATTGTTTCATAATAGTATAGACTAGCTGATGTTTGTGTATATGTAACTAGATTTTCGGTAATTATTCATATGTAATTTGTCAGTTTATAGTGAATCAATTACCAACGTTCATGAAGATTATATACATTAAAAAAATTACAATACATTTATAGATTCCAAATTGAAAATGTCAATATTGAGAGTTTTTTTTATTTTTCATATGGCAATGTATTCGCTGTAAACTGACAGTGTTTAAGAGAAGACAGCTTGTTATTATCTGTGTAATCGGTAGTAGCCCCGGTAGAAGAGACGCGGGCCACATTAACAATAAAACTACTGCATAATTTATGTTGTATCATTTTATACATCCCATTACAATATATTATTTATATACTAAGAAACATCATATTTATGGTCAAATGCACATTATCAAAAGTCTTCTTTGGAAATTTTACTAGACATCACATAATATGAAGTGCTCTATGAGTAATTCTCTTACTTTTATTCACAAGAAAATTGTTGTGTATGAGATTTTAGGATATTCTGAAATACATATAATAGATATTGTAAGAGATTTGTTTTTATTTGTAGTTTTGCATCACGAAAATTGCTCGAAAAAAGGGGAGGTGATAGTTATATTCAGTCTCGTCTAAATGTAAAGATTTAATGATAACTTTGTTTTCCTTAATTGGTATTTAGTACGATATACAGAAATATATTATATTTTTTGTCGATTCTTTATATTATGAACAAATGAATTATAATTTATATCACTAAGCATGTTTGAAAAATATAAAAAAAACAAATCTGAGGACATAAAACCCTTTTCATATATAAAAGTATGTATTCATCGCAAGTGATCTCTTTAGGAAAAGTATAGAAATAAGAGAGGTGCTTTCCAAGTGAATCAATTACATCAGAGAAAATTTTGCGTAGATTGCGAGTGGCACTAAGGTGTACACCACATTACAATAACCACATCTAAGCTTTCGCTACTTTCATATAGTATATTCTGTAAGATGTTACATATTTTTTAGACATGTTATACTTCAAGAGTTTCAAGAACTTGCTTAATTTAAAATAAATTATTTCTTATATTGATGTAAGTTAATGAATGAACCATTGATTACTTTTGAAATTTATCATAAGTTCCATTCCTGACTTGTCATTTCAATAATATGAATGATTACTTTTAAGTATACCTATATTAAAATGACTAAAGGTAAATATTATATTTCATATTTGGTTTATAAAACCCCTTCCTCTTACTTTTGTATTTCGTTTGGTGTCCTTAATTACTTATTTATCCAGAATGTTTATAGCCATTTTTTATAACATGACTTGAAACAGCCTATACTGGCAGAAAATTACAAATGTGTCATCGAGTTTGCAGAATCTCCATTCTCATAAAAAAAATAATTTCTGTATTGTCTTTTTCCGTGGAATTTAACTTTTAGTAACAAACGAAATACCAACCAAATTTACAATGCTCAGAACACATTTACAATATAGTGCTGCGAGAAAGACATCATGTTCTGTGGAAGTCAAGATTTGCTTTTAATTATTTGGTTCCAAATAAAACAAATATAGTTTTGTTTTAGTGGATGGTAAAGAATTAACTTTCCTTCTTAAAACAAAATATAACTGTATATTTATCGTGATTTGTTTTTTGTTGCCATTAAGAGAATACAATTTTCTTGGATGAAGATCACTGCTGCGTCGTTGGGCTGGAGAAATTGCATGCATCTTCGACCTTGCAAAGATTTTCGGTCGTGTGCAAAGATCTAGATTACCATTTTATTGCTTACCTAATATTAATTAAATGACTCACGAACTTTCTTACTGGATTGAGAATATTTCCACGTAGTATGATTCATTTGTACTTACGCTTCTGAAAAAAGTTTGTGTTGTATTTTTGACAATAAATAAACCTCTTAATAAATTATAATATATTAGTAGAGGATCCCGATATAAGGCGACCTTCACCGAGATGTTTATTTGATGAAACATATTTTATATTCAATTTAATATGTCAATAAATCTCGTTTAAAGTCATCTCGTCTGCCCGTGATCACTGTTACTGTAAAGTAACCGAAACGTCGGGAGTATGTCCTTTTTGATAAAAATAAAAACCGCGTAGTACATTCGAAAAATATTAGTTTCATTCAAAGCCTTTGATTTTTTTTAGAAACTGGTCACTGTCTTCTTTAGCAGAGTAATTTTTCACGAAAATACGATATCTTGCATCATTCACATTAGTTAATTCTTAATTCCATATATACCGAGCTGTAAATTCTTGACCTATTTTCATAAATTCGAAGTGGCCGAATGCAATAGATCCAATATGCATCAAACTTGAACCTGAAAGCTGCGGATGGTACTTAGATGAATATTTAAAACCTTGGGGATCCTTGGGGATCATACACCTTTAAGAATAGCTGATATTGTCGAAAGAACCGAAACAGAGAGTGATGAAGAAGAAGGTGCAGATGTCGAAGATCCCAGTTTTATGTCCGATGACTCAGAAGCTGAATAATTTAAAATATACAATATATATATGTTTTTATAATTTTGAACAATAAACAGAGTTTTTTTTAAATTGTTTTTGCTTAAGACCTCTCAGTCGCACATTTTCAATCGCAGAAATATTAAACTTTAAAAATCGCCAACCCTAATTTAGGACTGATTTTTCGGAGGCAACCCTATACTACCTTGTTCGTAATTAAATATTCTTTGTTTTCATTTAAATTTGATTAAATTATCAGACCGGTGCAAAATGCTACTATCGATGTACGTGTTTATCCCTGGCAACCCGAGAGTTGTGACTGGAAAAGAATAGGCAACCTAACGTTTTCATATTCTATGGGCTCCGTACTTTCGATTGGTGTGAAATTTATCTAATAATCAAACCGGTGAAATATTTGAAAAAAAATCTATTTTTAATTGTTAATTAATCATATCCTGGAGTAAAATTTATGAGGCAACCCATATGTAATATATTTATTGACATATTAAATTGAATATAAAATATGTTTCATCAAATAAACATCTCGGTGAAGGTCGCCTTATATCGGGATCTTAGACTATATAAAAGATTTTTAGAATTGCCGTTACAATTTTTCAATTCTAAGGAACGCTAATATCTTTATATTTTAATATGTAACATATGTAATATTATACAAATTCCTATTTGAAAATATAGTTCTTCAGATTTAAAAAACGTGCTAAGAATATTTTTACTTAACTATAGGGTGCGCCAGAGAAACTTACTTATTTAAAAAAATTACCGCGCGGTGAGTTGGGCGGGTAGAGGGGCAAGAGGGGACGCACCTGGAGGAGGAAGTTCCCAAGTTTGTTTCTCCCTCCAGTCAGCTGCCATCATGCTCTGGTTTAGAGAGCAGCGGGCCTTCGCAGTTGAGAGCTTCTTTTCTAACGGTCGCTCACTTGTTACTACGCAACGTGCCTTCCGCGCTCGCTTTGAAATTCCTCCTCACAGACTCGTTCCTGGCCGTAATTCGATTCTGTCGTGGTTTAAGTCATTTCGGGAGTGTGGAAGTGTTGCTAAACCCAGAAATGGACTTCAACGGACCATCAGAACTCCGGAAAATATCGAAAGAGTGAGGCAGTCAGTTGTGCGTTCTCCCCGGTGTTCGTCTCGCAAACACGCAGCTGCTATGGGAATTTCTGATACCACTGTTCGACGAATTCTCCATGAAGACCTTCAATTTCATCCCTATAAATTGGCTGTTGTGCAAGAATTAACTGAACGCGATTTTGTTGCCCGTCAAAATGCATGTGAAATGCTGATTGACAACCTGCCTGAAGACGCGGTCGTTTTTGTCAGTGACGAGGCTCACTTCCACATTTCCCTGGTTTATGTCGATCGACCACGGACCATAGCATACCTCAAGAACAACATTCGCGACGCCATTGGCAACATACCGATTGATATGCTGCGAAGAGTGGATACGAATTTCAAAAATCGACTTCATCAGTGTATGCGCAATGGGGGTCACCATTTATCCGATGTCATTTTTAAGACTGCATGACAAAAAAATTGGGATATTGTATTCTCAAATAAAAAAAAATTTAAAACAATAACTGAAGTACTTTTTTTTTATTGACCTTTCAAATAAGTAAGTTTCTCTGACGCACCCTGTATATGTATTTCCGTTTTATGATGTTATACAAGACATGCATCGAGTTAAATAAAGTACAAGGAAAATATAATTAGGACAAATACTAAGCTTTAAGATAATCCTGTTTTCAGACTAATTTATTATGCGTTATCAGTTGTTTAAAGTTACAAACATTGAGTGGTCGTCGGTTATTATGTTTTAACAGATTCTGAAATACATTTTTATTAACTTGAAATAAGTATGATTGGTGAGTTTTTTTCCCTTAAACTTTTTGCGTTTCAAGTAAGAAAGTTGCATCTATTAAGTAGTATCCTAAGTAAGGCTGTTTTATATGCTATGTTTTTAATTAACATTGCTATGTTTTTAATTAACAAAGAGTCTTGAATTAATTTATCAGCAGGATATATCTCAAGAATTAAAAAAAATTGAGAGTGTTGAAACACCAAACAAACTAAATAAAGCAATTAGACCAAAATTTTAAATAATAAAAACATTTCGACAAAATATAATGTTGTTAGATACGTACAATTTCCCATTTTACATTTTATAAATCTTCATTTTCCAGGTATAATTGCTTTGATACTTTTAAGAGTTCTACCAATTTTATCAGTTTATCATGAACCATCTATGACAGTCATCTCTCTACCAAATGGATCATATCCAGATGCTATGTTGGGATTTAGTATGGCCTACTTTAATAAGCAGTGTGTACAAAGATTTTGTTACCTATATACCGTACTTTATAATCAAATGATGCATAGAACAGCGTTTGCTGTTCAAGTATTTATTGAAATCAACACTAAATAACTGTAGAAGACGTTTTAAATAAAGTAAACATCATGAACCAGAAATAATGTAACTTGTTTGGGATTGTTGCTCGGATTTCTTACATTTATAAAATTAAATGAAGGAATTGGAGACATTATTTAGAAATTTCTATCTCTTTTTTTAATTAAAGCTATCTAAATATGTACATATCATTAAATAATTTTAATTTGAGGTTTATATTTTACAGCCTTTTCGTAAGCGCTCCAAAATATGGTAATGGTAGACTCTTTGATTATGACCTTTTAAATGGTAAAAATGTGAAAGAAATCGCTCTTCCTAATGGAGATGGTAAGTTCATAAATATAAATATGTACCTAATAATTCAATACAAAAAGAATATAACCATTTAAAAATGATTTATTATATCAAAATAACAAGATGAAGATTATACAACAGAAGGATTTCAACTTTCGTCTTCGATATGATTTCCCAAGTGAATAAAAGCAAATAAAACTCTCATTTAGCCTAAACACACTTATCAATTCACTTCGTATGGATAATGAACATTGCCAATTTTGCATATTTATTTTATATTACAGACGACGGAAGCTATTGGTTCGGAGCGGTTTTAAAAGCCGGCTCCGAATTTTTAGTGGTAAGAATTGTGTCACATAGCATAGTATGAACTGTAAATGATTTTTTTTTGTGTAAGAGATTATGTTTAAGAAATTTTCTTTAACACTATTCAAAAGTTGACATAACAAAAATCTTCGCTGCATTGTTTAATTTAGAGACAAATTAAAGTCAGACGTTAATTTCTATTTTGTCATAACTTTTTGCATATTAGAAATAGATTGAATTGGAGTGCTGAAGTTTTCATAAAGATTTATAGTACATTCGAAGTTAGTCACTATTAAATTACAATAATTGATTTACAGACTTGCTCCCCGAGACTATGTAAGTATCTGTAGAACTTATTTAAATTTTTCCATACTTTCCCATTACTTTATGATGGATTTTTTTTAATAATTTAGTTTAAATCATTGTTAAATAAAGTATTTTCCTTAACAGGGTATGAAACTTATGACCATAAGACACGAGGGTTGTGCTATTCCATTACAAACAATACTCTGAGGGAATTGAAAGATATACCTTCAGATCAAATTAATTATTATTCAAGTAAGTTTTTAATATAACAAGCAAGTATGTCGCTACACTAGTTATTAAGATCATGTAGTTTTGATTATTCCACGTCCTGTTCGTACGTCGAAAACAAGTTAGCAATGTTCATAATGTTTCGTAATTAAGAGCGTCGAAATGATGTGATGTCTAATTTTGTGGTAAAAAGTGGCACTTTATTAAATAACTCCTCTGAATATTTCTTTAAAATTGTAATACCATTAATTGTAAGGCGTTAAGTAGATGTTATTGCTATTGGAGGACACCGAAGAAGAGATGAGAACATCCATAGGGTAGTTATAGAAGTTTGGATTTACAGAAAATGCGATGAAGCCGCACATTTCTGTCATCTTTGTCTTTGTCTTATTCGGAGACCTGCTCCAAGGGCATCTCAATTTCAGATAGAAGTCTCATTCTGTTATGATCTTCTATTTTGCGAGGGATGTGTGTAATGTGCTGTCATCTGGATAACAATAACTGTTGTCGGTTCACAACATATCGTTGATATACAATATGACTGGAAGCACGAACCGTCAACAACGACCTTTATACTAAACCTAAAAAAAAAATGCAAATGCAAAATCATTCTGATAATCCGCATAATGGAAATTTCGATATAAATGCTCTAAACCCTTTTGAAGGCCTTTGCGAAGTTCAACATTTGCTCTGAATGCCTTGAGTCTATCAATGGATGAGTTATGATAGAAAATCATTTTTGTTTCGACTACAAGGAAAACCCTACTGCTGTTCACTTCTAAGCTGGGTCTCTTCTAGAACAAGAAGAAACTGCGTTTTGCGTCGGTGCGGGTCATAGTTCTGGGAATTCCGACAAAGATAGCGTTCTCCAGGGATAAGATGTGTAACATTTTTGCAACCCATCCCCATCTAATGACTTAAAGTGCCATTTCCAGTGCTTTTCGCGTGGACGAGGAGGCTTAATGTATCAAATGAAAATAATGTAGCATCGTTGAATAAACGATAAAAATCTGGGTGCGAAGTCTTCAAAATTCGGAATACTAGTAAATTCTGGAAGAAATTGTGTAAGATTGCAGTCTAAAACAGTTAAAAGATATTCTTCCTCTTAGTGTGGGGTACGGGCAAGCTGTTCCTGATGTAGTATAGTTTCTGAAAAGAAATATCGCAAATTATTACAACTACCTAGATGTGGTTTTATTTATGATTATGTACGATAAAGAGGATATTACCAAATCAACTAAACAAAACAATCTATTTGCTTCCCTGTCAAATATACTTATTGAGTATCGCAGTTATTATACTGTATTTTTCTTTTGCTTATAACATAAGCTTTATGAGATATATAAAGAACTATTAGTTTTTCATTTCGCTAAAAATTTGCACTGGTAAAATACATATTCTTCTTTGTCTGGTAAAATTTCTATTTTATGCAGATTCCGGCCTTGACACAGCAGGCTGGAGTATAGAAGTTGACGCTGAAGATTTTATACTAATTGGAAGTCCTGCAGTGAGCTTAAGAGGTAATAACCAGACCGATCTAATTAGCACCTATATCAGGGCATAACGAAATGTAGGTGATTAAGAAGAATTTTATGAGATTCTTAGTATCGCAACTTCAGTTCTTATTTAACTTTAAAGGTTTAAAAGTTTTAAAATATTTTATTTATAATATTATTATTTGAAATTTTCTTGTCATTATGTAATTAAGTTATGTGATATTTTTATAGAAATAAATAAAATGATTTTATTAATTATTTAATTATGCCTATTTAAGATACTATTGGAGTTCAAAATTATCGTATTTTTATCATTTTGATATAGAAAATAAATCAAAAATTAGATTGTATGTTGCTTATAGCTTAAATGATTTATTAAATAATTAAAAATTATTTCATAGGAATAGTGAAATTTTATGATAACAAAGTGGCGCTACCGAGAGTTTTTCTGAATTTGATTAAAACTTATAATTTTGGTAAGTAAATCATATACCTACATTTATTTAAATAAACAAAACTCATTAAAACAGAGTTTGAAAAAATTTAAAATGTACAAAGTAATAATATTAATGTTTTATAATAGATTTGTAATTTGTATGATTCTTTATGAACATTTTCCATTTACTATTCACAAAATCTATAATAACTTTCTCTGTGAAATACCGATTAAGTTACTCCTAAATTTATAAGACAGAGATCTAGATAAATAAATTTCTTAAATGTAAGTTTTCAATAATACAATATATCGACTCGTTTCACTGACGAGATGTAAGTATACATATATAGTTTTATACATAGTACTAATTTGTTGATGTACATTAGGAGTTACTTATTGAAGTAGTAGCCGGTCGTAAAAAACACATTATCGAAATGTAGTAAAGATAATATTGTAGTTCTATTTATCGAAGGCTTTTGAAATAAGATGTGAAACATTTGTCACGATATTTTATGTGTACTCTCTACAATTAGTTAAAAGGTTTTTTGTCACCTCTTACAAAATTAAGATTTCCTTTTTAAGATGGGTCCACTTAAATATTCAGTTATTACGTTATTTTTTAAAATACGAGATTCTTTACATTTTTTATCATGTCAAGTACCTATATAAAAACAGTGATTTTTAATCTGAATGATTGATTTAAAAATTCATTGAATTTTAGTAAGGAAAATTTCTGACACACAGAATGATATATTAACCAAACATACTATCAATAAATGGATAAACGAGTTATAGATGTTGACTTTTAATTTTCATCAATTTCAGGTTACGCTATCGCAAGCGGAAACTTTTTATCAGAAAACGAAATATGCTATGCAATTAGTACCACTTTTGGTGATTTTGGAGAAGGAATGGTAATTAACATAATTATTACATTCACATCTGTAATATATGCATAATATATAAATTGTTATTATATGTATTATATAATTGTAATGCTTTGTGCTAAAGATCTCATTCCTTTAGATATACAAAGAGTTTCCATTTTAGTATGATATGATATATTTTTTTATTTACAGTGTGGTTGTAACAATATGTATTTTTTAGGTCTTTATCGTAAATAAGGACAACAAAGAATTGCTCAGGCTATCTGGTACTGAAGTGGGAGGCTTGTATGGAGCTGCTTTGTGTAAAGTTAACTTGTATGGAACAAGATCCAGTCTTCTTGTTGGATCTCCTGCATTTTCAGAGAAATCTGACCATTATGACAATGGCGCTGTGTATTTATATGTGAATGAAGGGTCTAAGGTATATATTTTTATGATTTATCTTCACAGTACCTTTCTTTATTTAAATTCAACATACGTATTGGATTTTTATTAAATGGAAAATAGACCGAACAGAAAGCTACAAATTGTTTAAAAATACACGTGTACATTTTTATAAATATGACTCAATAGAAATAATTATGAAATTAAAATAAAGACAATTATTTTAGGATTTGACATTAAAAAGAATTATAAAAGGAAACAAAAACGGTGGATACTTCGGTTTTGCTATCTCAAGTTTAGGAGATTTGGATGGCGACGAACGAGAGGGTAATTATATATAACTAAGAATATTTAATAAATTTAATTGGTAAAAAAAATATTCGACGGTAAAAATATTTAACATTTTAGAGGTTGCGATAGGAGCACCATACGAAGACGATTTGAAAGGTGCTGTGTACATATATACTGGAGCTAGTCTTTTGTCTGGGAATACTTGGTTACAGAAGATTCAACCTGAGGAATTTCAAACCATTGGACATAGTCTGGTTCCTTTATATAATTGTTTTAACAGCGGATGTAACGGTATTTAATAGACAAATAAACACAATATAATTCAAATAATTTAGATCTTTTCCTTGCTAAAATAAGTTGTTTATTGTTTTTAGAATTAGCAGTTGGCGCACCATTAAGCGATAAAGCCTTTATATTGAAATGCAACAGTCATATTACAGTAAATTTAGAAGCATTCTTTCCAAACCTACAGGTAATAAATGGTAATATCTAAGGCTTTAGTAAGTATCCATTACTATGCAGTGATTGTGATCACGGGCAGAAGCGGTGAAAGTACCTGAGATGAAGGTTACTGCTAAGTAATGGAAACGTGGAATAAAATGTTGAATAATAAAATATTTAAAGTATATCCAAAAAAAAACTCTTATGTAATAACTGTTAAGTAATATATGTATATAATTTAACAGTAAAATTAACTTTATTTTCAGATGAGAACGAACAGAACATTTTTTGTATTCACTGCTTGTATTAATATAGAGCATCCAAAAAAACATAACATAAATTCAAGTAAGTTATATACATTTTATTTAGTTTGCTTTTCTAGTATTTTTTTAATAGTTAAATTTGTCATATTTTCATGTCTTCATGTGTCCAATCCACTTTAAATTATTTGTGTTATTACAAGAGAATTACTTTTACTAAACAAACTTAAACAGAAGATAATAAATAATAATCAATTAAATATTACAATGACGTTTAAGTTATAGTACTTTAGGGAAACAGAGGAGAAACTACCAAGGGCAAGGAAATTATATAATCTTCGGTAGCATTTTCGTTTGGTGAATTGTATTTTAATTTAAACAAATTTTTAGAAACCCATAAACCCTTAGAACAGTAAGATTAGTCTCATAAATCATCATGAGATTATTAATTTCATTACAATAGTTATTGAGCAACTTTAATTTGGTCATCAAAGCAATATGTTAGAACTAAATCATTGTAGGAAAAAAAAATTGAAATTGTAAATAATATAAAATGATTTCCAGGTATCTCCATTAAAGTGGACATAAATCATCCGGATGCATCATTGGAAAATAAAAATGGTACGTTTGCGTTTCCAATTGGTTCTGAAATATTATATTGCAAGAATGTCACCGTCTTAACGCCAATCGTAAGTATGAGAAAACCGTTCAGTTATATATTTAGTCCAAAAAAGTTTAGTTTCTACTTCTTATATTTCCAATTTCATTAACTCCATCTAAGAATAACGAAAAATCACTGAAACTCTCATTAGTTTCGTTACTAGGGCTTTTCTCTATAAATACTTAGTCTCCAAAAATTCTGCAAAAATCTCATTTAAACTTTCTCCCCGTTTTAACTTAGTGAATGGATTCCGTAAATCCGCCCCTAGTTGAACTGTTTAATTCTTAACCTTTATTTTTACTTAATGTCAGGTTCATTATTCAAATAGTTTTGACTTTGTAAGCTAATTGCTTTGATAGCTTTTACTTTCTTTATAATTATATTAGCAAATAGATGATCAATGGAATGAAAAGATTGTTAATTTCAGGAAGGTAATTATGATGAACTGATAGCGTACAAAATAACAGCCTCTTTAATGAATATAACGAACAATGAATACTCAAGCTCGCGGGCTATTCTCAGTGAAAGGAGCAAAATTGAAATACAGGGACAAGTGTCTGCTGCTGACTGTGCGGGTCGAGAAAGATGTGTTCCTATATTAACAGCTACATTACAATCAAATATCACGTAAGTATATGTACCAGTGTTTGTTATAAATGTACTATATATTTGAATTTTATTCGAATTATTAGGCGATTTTTTCTTAAACCTTAAGTTTAGTAATTAACAACTCGATAACACCTCTCAAGACACAGGCGTTTTTTGACAATTCTTGTACGGAGATATTACATTCTTTGTTTTATTTACATAACGAAACTAAAAGAACAACATTATTAGTATGTCTTATTGATCTAATATACCCATTCTCCAGTGAACCATTTGTCGTTGGTTCAGACAACGTTAGTTTTTCGTTGTCCTTACTCAACTCGGGCGAGACCGCTTACTCCGCGTGCGCCCACGTGCTCGTGTCCGGCGCCCACATGTTCCGACATCCGAGTACTTGCACACGCCTTGACCAGACAGAACAAGTTACATGTAAGCCGGCGAGACCTATAGTTGCTGATGACGTTTGGGTATGTTTCTATAGCATTCGAAACTTTTTATTTATTTATGAAACTTCTCAAAACCTTAAACTAGCTTGAAAAAAGACTTTAGTTCACAACTGCGCTATTTTAACATGCATGACTTAAAAGTAAATTCAATATCGCACATCGTTTATAAGTTAAACCATCTCTAAAGAAGTATCCGAAATAAAACACACTTCTAAAAATATAATTAAAAAGCCATGGAACATCCTGATCGAAAGCATGAAAATAATGTAAATAATTTTTTTTAATAATACAAAAGAAGTTGTAAAGAATTAAATATTTTTTCAGAGAATTGGGGAAATCCAAATTGATACAGATTCATTGACAAGCAAAGATGAAAACATTACCATAACATATGTTGTATATAGTCATTGCAATAATCACGATGACAAACAAAAATATCAAAAAATAATTCATCTTGTTTATGAAACAGAAGGAATCATTGTAAATGGGTGAGTTTTCAATAATTTTTTTTAGATGATGAAGAACTTATAACACCCGTTTTAATTCTTTGTTTTAGTATTTCCAATCCCAGTGATTTAGTTAATTTCACTTCAGAGGACGCCGCAAAGAAACAACAGCTGGAACATGTCTATATGGTGAGACATTATTACATTTTTTACAAAATTACTGTTCAAGGTACAGTTTAAGTATGGATCCTTAATGTTCAGCGTTTATAGAAAGTATTTATAGTTTTCAAATACAGTTTATGCATAAATGTTGCCATTACAAAATTAAAGGTTGCAAATTATGTATGCATGCATATTATGTATGCTTAAATGTTGTCATTAAAAAATGTGGTTAATTATTAATTATCAGTTATAAAAAATCTAATCTAGCTTGTATATACAATTAGTAAAGCACAGATTGCGCCACTTGTAACACTACTTTATATGATTATTGTGCGTATTTATTAATATCAATTTTCATATAATTACAGATCACAAATAACGGACTGACTCATTGGGTTGGTGTAAAATGTGAAGTCTTACTTGAGAAGAGTCCCTACTTCAATTACAGTGTGTCTGTAGGTATAACAATAAATATTAAGTAACGGTAATTTTCACAATACTGCTTACAATAATAAGAAAAGATAACTTTTGTTTTGTTCTACATTTACATTAAAATATAACACTGTTTAAAAAGACTCTAATTTAGGTTTTTCGTGTTATAAATTTGTATTTCTTAATTTGATATTCATTGTTCGTATTTATTTTACATATAATATTTTTGTCAATGAAACCCAGATCGTTGATAAGACAACGGAGTCTTGTGTTTTAAACGAAGACGAAACAAATCTGACTGCTATATGTGATATTGGTGACTTGAAACATAACGTTGTGAAAAATATTATTGTAACTATAGAACTACATCCAAATACTATAGGTATGTTGTATAATGCTTATTATTTTAAGTTCAATATACTGTAAGTGTCTCGTAATTAAAGGAATTTTTAATGTAATATTTTATTTTAAATATTTATTATTGTAAATAAGAGGTTATATAATTCATCATTGAAATTTAAACTTATACACGATTATTATTATTTTTAATGCTATGGCTTAATTCGAACTGTAATCGTGGAACATTTTTCCAATTTCAACGTTTTAATTTGTTGGACGAATTATAATCTTGAGTACTGTGTGGAGGAAACGCGAAGTTTATCGAATCGAATAAAGGCGTTTATTTAATTCAAGATTGTTGTAGATAACAGTTACTAAACACATGTTTACAGGTGACATCATACGTAATGAAAATGCTGACATCGAGACCAACCTTGTCGTTTTACTGAAAGAAGAACGATTAGTCCAGAGGTACAGTGACTGTTTAAACTTATAAAATAAATAAATTTAAATGAATACAATGTAACTTTGTTACTAATATATTTCTAAGAAAAAATATTTTGCTTTCTACCTATATTCCATTGTAATTTTGAATGAAAAATAGCTTGTTATTCTAGCTCTTTGAAAGAAATAGGTATAATGTTTCTAATTTATGTTCAAAATATGAATATAAGCTTCTACATATATTTATAATACTAGTTTTATTAACTATGCGTAATTCTTTCAGTTTAACAACAAAATTAGCTTTAGTGTCCACGTCTGCTCCTGCCTGGATAATTATCTTGGCTCTTCTTTTGGGACTGCTCATTATATGTGTCATAATATATGTTTTATATAAGGTGAGATCATTATTTTCAAGTAAATAACAATAAAATGTATACAGTACATATTTCGATTGAGTTAATTTATAATTACGTGAATTTAAAATGTAAATGTTGGTGATGGATAAGACGTAATACATATTATAGAATTGTTAATTAATAGCTTTTTGATAAAAACGATAGTTTTTTTTTAATCAATGTTGCGTACCGTGGAAGAAATTCAAGAATTACTCGCTTCAATATATTTTACATTGTAATCAATTTATTTCCTTACATAATATTGTTTTGAACATAATTATTTAATATTGTTATTCTTTCAGAACAAATGTTTTCAAAGAAAAAATAAAAAGAAACTGAATAATTTGAAAGCATCGCTTTATATTAAAGTAAGTGTGCGATAAAGTTATAGCTGTTAACATAATATTTAGAAATATATAATATTCTTGCAATTATCGATATTTTCAAACATGTTCTAACACAGGTATTAATTTGTTTCAGGATAGGGGAAATAAAGACGATTGCGACTCAGATTCAAGTGAATCCGAAGCAAAATAGGAATAAATAGTGTTGTTACATAAATTACTTTTATGAGTTTTACATTTATATTATTCGTATTATATCAAAAATGTGTTTTTATAAATATGCATTTTCTCGTATCGTTACTTTAATAGAAGTAAGTAATATAAAGATGATATGTACAAATTTAGTTTTACATTTTCACTCTTATTGATGATTTTAATGTGTGAAATTAATAAGAAAGCAACAAAATCTATAAATTGTCTACTTCCTTTTCGCAAATAAAGGAGTAATAGTCGGAGCAGTCGACATCGTTGTATTTGCCATCGTTTTTAAATATGGTCCCACAGTACTCATTACCTAATGAATTGTTGGGTTCGTTGGGTGACCATTGATTATAGCCAGCCTCTTCTAAAGTCTGATCTAGAAAATATAAATACATATATATACGAAAACTTCCCCATTCTTATTTTGACTATAAAAGCATCAATTGACATTTGCTTTACTACACAATATTTTCATTTTTCACAAATTTAGATATCGGCTTCTACATTAATATTTATTTCTTAACTAATACAGGGTGACTGGTGAATTACTATCGATACTTGAGGACGTGATATTTGACGATCATATATGACAAAATAAAAATTAATATAACATAAATATTAATAAACTTCTAAGTAAAGTTAACCAAAAGTTATGTAATTAATTACGCATCGTGTGAACACCCTACAGATTAGGTATACACACGCCGCCGCACGCGTCCACACTTGGAACACTTGGAACGTGTCCACACTTTATTTAATTATACGGAAATTTGGTCAAAAATTAACTACCTATTTTTTTTACATAATTCGAATGAGAATCATGTACCGAGTATTCTCCTTAAATATTGATAGTAATTCACCAGTCACCCTGTATAGTATATCAAAAGATTTTTAGTTTACTTACTAAAAATAGTCTGAAAAACTAGTTCAGATCCATCGGTTACTTTTTGTGCTCTTATACCAGCGATAAAAAACCACGTGGTTTTTGGGTGATATACAGTAGCAAGAGAGTCTTCAATGTTATTCAAAATTTGATGTTGAACAACGCTATGTTCAGCTTCAGAGTTCAACACTGCCAAGTGAGCTCCTTGCGACTGGCAATCTGCATACGCTTGATTCCAGGAATAAGATATCTTAGGTACTTTGTAACAACTGCCCACACTTTCAAAATATTGGTAACCTGCAATAGAAAAATAGGTTAAAGATTCCAAAATAATATTTCCATAAATAGCTTGCAGGTTGTGATCTCTGTTTCTTAAAAAGTTTTTTTTTATATACAACACAATATTCGGTTCCAATTTGTGATATACTTATTCTCCATTTAAATATTTAGATTTTACATAAATACACTTAAAATGAAACTAAGTTTTTCGGATTCACAGTTTTTAAAAATAAATTAAAGTTTATCTTCTGCACATAATCACGACTACTGTAAAGGAACCGAAACGTCGGAATCATGTAAATATAGAATAATAAAAATTCTTAGGATCCAAAAAACTTATTTTCATTACGTGTGCACGCAAAAGTCTAAGATATTATGACTAACCTACTAACCTTTACCAAAGACCTTACAGTGAGGATCATAGAAAGCGTTCTTGGCTTCAACTTTACAGATAAAAGGCAATTGTCGGTAACAATTGCAGCTGTCTACCTTCCCATCTCTTTGGATGACATCACATTCGTCAACCTTTACATTTTCTTGTGCTTCCCCTAAGTATAAGTAGTCCACTGTAAAAGTGTAATTATGTTTTAAAATGAATAGGTACTTACTTTTATTTCTGTGATCCAATTTTTTTATATTTTATAAAAGAATGAGACTTGCATATAAAAATTGCTTGAATTATATCCGCGTATAATACGATAAGGTAACTTGTATACCTAAGAAGTTCAAGATAATTATGTTTCACTGGTAGGATAGATTCTAAACCTATATCGAACACCATGGGTCGATAACGACCTACAAGTCTCAATAGGTGTTTATTGGACCAAAAACTAAGAGAACTTCTACTTAAAATACTGAATATATTAGAGGAATTGATACTATCAATAGAAGTTAATTTACGTCGTTGCATTAATTTAACTAAGTTTTAGCTGCGATTATACTTACAGTCAATGATTGGTTTCACCTCGGCAGAATCGTGTTGTTTACCATCACCTGCTACCCAGGCGTAATTGTCAAGGTCAGGATACTGTTTAAACATTTCATGGGCTTGGATGATGTCGTATTCCGAAGTTAGTACCAAGATTTCGGCACCCTCATATTCACATATGATTTTAGCTTTTCTGAATGTGAGAGTTTCAATATGAAACTTGTAAAAAGAATCCGTTTTCTTGTTGTAAATATAGTCACTTCGGTATTGTTTGGATAGAACATTGCTGTCTGTGCTCAACACACAAAAGATTTTGTTAAAAAGTTGTATCACTACAAGTACTTATGTCATGACTCATAAAATTATTATTCATATATTCATTACGTCCTTACATACCTCAAATCAGCATTTATATAGTTTTTAATTAATTTTAAGTAATAATAATACATATTGGACAGTTTTAATTGAGAAAATGTTAGTGAAAATAGCCAACACTAATTGTACTTACCGAAAATAATACAGAATAAGAAAACAGAGAACAAAAATTTTAACATCTTGAGATGCTCACATAACACTGAGTAATTGATGAGTGTCTGAAATCGCTTCCCTCAATTACACTGATAAGAAATATAATAAATATGCATATCTGGACTATAAACAAATCGTAAACAAAATGTTTTTTAGTTGAAACAGAACAATAAATAAATATATTTGAAATTAACGATAATGATGTTTGGTTCAAAACTTATTTGAAAAAAATGTCTTGAAAAGATATAATATTTTATTAATATAATGCATAACTTTTTTATCTAATAACATATTGAGTTCATGATGTATTTAAATTAATAATTGTTTATTTATATTAATTTTATCAGTGCCCTATGTTAACTTGTTGATTTCCTGTAAAATAATCATGTCTATTGGATGGATTACATATTCAAACAGATTTATTATTAAAGAAGTTATTAATGTATACAAATATTCTATATAAACAAATAAAAATTGTGCAAAAATCATCCAAATTATTTTTCATTGTAACTGGTATTTCTATCTTTATATATATAATTCGTCTATGAGTGTGTATGTCACTGAACTTCTCTCAAACGACTGGACCGATTTTGATTAAATTTTTTGTGTTTGTTCAAGGGAATGGTTTAGATTCACAATTTTGTCCGCTGGACAGTGTTTTTTTAATTAATTTTTAATTTATTAGTAGTTGTTGACACAATTTTTTTTTTGACATTAGATTTGACAACTAACTAATATATCAACCATTCTGTCGCACTTCAAAACATGGAGATTTATGGCTTTAATAGGAAAACTCCAAAAATATAAATAAAAAAAACGTAACAGATATGTATTTCTTCATTATAGGGCAGTACGAAGTTCGCCGGATATTCTAGTATATTTATAATTTTATATTATAAGTCGACAGTTACATTCATACGGGTCTCTCAGTTAGTTTATTTTATTATAAATTGTTGGCTTTTGCCAGACGTATTTGCCTATAGTACATACGGTGTTAGTGGTTTCCATTTAAATTTTAGTTTACACACAAATATGCTAACTAGAGTGCAGCAAACAAAGCCACCTACAAGACCCCTTCAGTACTAACATTTGTTTCAACTTCTATTTGTATTCTCAATAAATGGGAATTAAAAAAAAGTATTATAATATCATAATTAAAAAATATAGTTATCGATCGGCTAAAAGAGTAATATTAAAATCCATTTTATTTACGATTAAATTTTTTATAATAATGCTTTTAACAATATATCAAATTAAGCAGCGTGTAGTTTATGCAAATAATATATTGAAAACCACTCATAAATTTTGCTGTCAGAAATTATTGGACTACCCCTTATACAATTTGAAAATCTTAAAGAGTTCCATTTATCATTTTAATTAATAAATAAAATTATTTTCTCTCATAAGAATAAAAATATATTTTTTTCTTAATAAGGCAAGTTACTTCTAACTTTTCGACAATAGTTACAAAAATGTTTAAAAAAAATCATTTGTCATGTTATCGTTATAAAAATTTTACAATATTTATATTCAAATTAGGTTTAAGAGTTTCCAAGAGATATATTTTGGGGAAATCCCATGACGTAGTTACATCGCCCCCAAAAGATAAAGATGCCCCCGAGCTAGAGTCACGACTTCAATTCCATAAGCAATTTATGATAGGAGCACAAATTACAGAGTGGGGTTAGGATCAAATAGGAAAGTCCAAGATGCGGATATATTGAAGTCTTTTATTCGGCAAGACGAGAATGATAAATATAAGATCCATGCAATGAATTTAGAAATGCAGAACGAGTGGTTAGACATAGGAGATTTTTGCATCCCATTAGCATTAAAATGGCGCACTTTAATTTATGATTGGTCGCCAGCATTGCTAAAATTCTATCTCAATGCGTTCCAAATGACTCTCCCAGATCAGAGTAATTTAGTAAGATGGGGTAAAAGTACCGAAAAAACTTGCTATATCTATGGAAAGGCAGTTGGAACTGCTAAGCATCTGCTGGTGGGATGTAAGGTACCCCTGGACAGCGGTCAATACTCGCGTCGTCACGATAGGGTTCTAGAAGTCATACGTGAAGCGGTTAGTCTTTCGGTAGCCAGAGCGCAAAAAGAAATAACCACAAACGAACGATCAGTAGGTTTTGTGAGAGAAGGCACTAGGGCTACAAAATCAAACGTCAAGCCTTACTCCATCCTTAAAGCGGCGTCGGATTGGACTATAATGATGGACATCTAAGAAAAACAATATAAAATCCCCGAGGATATTTGTGCGTCGGCCTCCAGACCGGATATATTTTTGTTTTCGCGAATTTTAAAGCGCGTAGTGATGATAGAACTTACGGTCCCTTGGGAAACCAACATCCCCAAAGACCATACCATCAAGGTCAACAAATATTACATCAAGCTCACAAACGAACTCACTCGAAATAGGTTCGTAGTAGATTTGTACGCGGTAGAGGTGGGAGCGAGAGGTATAACAGCGAAATCTCTCTACAACCTACTAAAGGACTTGGGCTTGTCCAGAACTCACATTAATGCATTCTTGGAACGTACATCGAAGGCAGCCCTAGTAGGTTCTTTTCAAATTTGGTTAGGTAGGGAGAGGAGCTTGGACAGTGCAGGTGAGCGTATAACGCGCGTGTAATAATTAGTTAAGGGGCCCCTTAAACCTACACTTGGGTCGCAAGTCCCAGGCACTGTTGAAGCTCCTCTCCCTGCAACGCGATGGACCCGGCACCCGCACGGTGAACCCATGGAATGCTGAGAAGTTTCGTCTCATATTGATAATTAAATAATTTATAATTAATTAAAAACGAAAAAACAGTAACATTTTTATATTATACGTATATTACATGTATGTAGTGATACAGGTTAAAGGTAAAGTTGTTACGGTATCTGTTACTTAAAAATCTGATTCTTGAACAACTTCCTCCATCAATATATCGTTGTCTTCTACACTCCTTCTGTTGATAGCCGCTTTCATACTCTCTCGCATCATTGATCGGCGCTATCGATATGGTTATTGGTTATTAAAAAATAATTATGATTTGGCATGACTTGTATTAGTATCAAATTTATAACTTACCACACTCTGTCTGTACACCTCTTTTTTGGTTTCATTTAGTTTTTCCTTCGTCTTTCGTTGAAGAAATCCATACTAGAATGTATATTTACTAATAAGTTGTACATACTTTTCAAAATAATTTAAAAATAGTTAAATGGATATTGTACATTTTCTTTTAAATAAGGAGGAAAAAGTATTTTGATTAAGTTGATGATGTTATTCATTCTAATTTTATGTCCCTACAACTATTACAAATATCAAGTTAATTAAGTGACTTGTCCCTTTGACTTGTGACTTTTTTGAATTAAACCGCTTATTGCGGAATAAAAACTTTAATTACGTTATGTATTTTTCATGTCCTTGATACATATGTGTAATCGTGGATATACTTACTTCATATAAAATATATGCAATTATAATGAGAAGAAAAACGCCGAGGAATGAGGACGCGAGAGTCACCCAAAGAGGAACTTTGGCCGCTTCGAAAGTCAGTGTTGTATTCAAGCTGAAAAAGGAACATTACACAATATATAGTTGATGATCATCAGCCTATGAGAGCCAATTGCTGAGCAAAGGCCTCTTGTCACATGGAGAAGATTTCAGTATTATTCACTTCCCTTGCTCAAGACGGGAGTTCCAACTTATAATTGGAAATTAATTTATAAGAAGTATAAGGTTGTTAACGTAATTGGAGAGACTTTGACTGTTTAAGAGCATCAAAAAAGATAAAAAATTAGTTTCAAACCAATCTCTAAGGACTGCGAGATTTTTTTGTTATATTTTTTATAGAATATTTTTTTTTATTACTATCAATAATACTTATAACTAAGGCCTTACCTTAAAAATTTGTTTCCGTCCCGAAGCAGCACTTCCATAGACGAGGTGACTGTGATATTCTGATCTTCACTGTCGAATTCTGAAACATTCAGTATGAGCCTCTTATCTCAGATAAAATTATTATTAGTAGTATAGATTTTAAACATACCTAAAGTATTCTTTGCAATTTTCATGGCAACAACGACAACCACTTTTTCTTGTTTTCCCAAGTCACCGATTTTGCATAACACTCTAATTTTTTCTTCAGATCGGTTTTTATTGCCAATTTCACATTCGATTAAAGATGTGTATGCGTAAACCTACAAAAAGATATTTGATATATACAGTCGGTCTTTTAGAATCTTGACTAGTGAATGATAAGCGAGGTATAGGTACTATTCCGGCGTCGGGACGTGACGACCCCATCGCCCACTGGTGTATTCCGGTGCAATCAGTCACGGGGGGGAGGGCTGGGGGTACAGCCCTGGGAGTAAGACGGACACGGATCTGGCAGGAGGGGTAAGGGGTTAACCCTCTCGCGATTAAGCAAGCCCGCCAGGCGGGGGGACACTCCTGGTCACTTGGAGTGAGCCCTCGGGGGGGGAGGTGGCCGTTCGCGGCCCGCCGCCGGATCGTCGCGGATGCATGCTTCGGCGTTTCCCGTGGCGATCCACTTGGCGGCAACGGAGAGTGAACGCTGGTGTTTTAGTGGGTAACATGGGCCCTTCTGGCCGTGAATCCCACATAACCGCCTCTGTCTCCCCTAGACGGAGGGGTAGGTATAAAACCTTTCACCGCGATAACAAAAAAAAAAAAAAAAGGTATAGGTACTATAAACTTTATTTACCAAAGACATATTTTGATCGCGTCGATATTTTAATAGTTGTTAATGATTTAGCATTTACAATCATAGACATTGCTTGCAAAACAAATGTACTTCCTTGGTGAAATTATTATTTTTTGTGACATTATTAAGATTAAAAATTAATGGTACTAGTATGTGAAGTTTTTTTTTTACCTTTATTGGTGCATCTGAGTAGTCGATGAATGGAGAATTTTGTAAAACGATCTCACTTTGCACTCCCACCCAGTTGGTGAGGCCGTAGTTGTAAATCTAATATAATATTTTTATTAAGTTTGAGGAAAGAGCGGTTTTATTAAAAAACTAACTTTCACTCTACTTTCAAAGCCTTCAATATTTTTAATTCCATCAGAAGACTTATAAACTTTCTTGGATATAACCTTTCTTATAACCTTTCGACAAATTTTGCATATTTTTCTATGTAAAAGAGCCACTATATTTCAATGTATGTATTGTTTATAAAATGTTGGCACTAGGATCAATGACTTATTTAACAGCTTACATAAATTGTTACAGTTTCAATTAAATTAAATATTTTTATATTTCGATAAATATAATAGCAACAACAGTAATATTAAATATGAGTTGCCATACCGTATATACATGATCAAATGATTTGCCCGTATGTAGATCATCAAGAGTAATTGGTAACTTTTCATCGGGATTGGATTGGCTGAAAAAAAAATTTTATCTAATGATTATTTGAGAATCAGAAGTCGTTAAAAATGATACCTCGAATTCTTATTTTGTGCTATATGTTTTAAATTCCGTTTCAAATTTCTGCCTATGTAGTCGTTGTATACATTTTTTGACACATACATATCGATATGTACGGTTAAGAGTTCTTTTTGTATTTTGTTTATGTTTACAGCCTGATCATAAGCAACGTGAAATAAAACTTAAATATTACTTCAGCTGATAAATTCATATAACATCACTTACCCTTTAATTACAACCATGTGGTTGTAAGGTTTCAGTTCAATAATTTCTTGGAAACTTGATACATTTTTACCGCCACATTGTGGATATAAATCACAACGGATCGTAAGAACGTCATGAATACTTGTCAAATAATCTGTTTCTATTAGAATTTCATTTATCTGTAAAATAATCCATATTGCTAAAGGAAATAAAAATATGTATATTTTTATTTCATTTAATAAGCTTAAAACTTACAGTCCAATTTAATGCAATTATGTTGCTATTAAAAAGGCGTGCTTAGTTCTATCTCTTTTCGTCTTTTAAAAATTAAATCCTACTTGAATAGTCTATTTAAAATAATTTTACAAACTTTAATGGTTCAAAATAGAGTATATTTACAAACCCAAAACTCATTGGTGTTTATGACGTGGTTGTGTCTGCAGATTAAAATGTCCAGCTCACGTCTACACGAAGATGGGTGTGCTATAACTCTCGCTCCTTCTACTTCCAGATGCATACAAGCCGCCTGTGCTGCACCACCTTCGTTTAATACTGACAATATAAACGTTTCTTGGTACGAAGAACCAATCATATACGGTTGTCTGAAATGTATGAAAAAATCTTAATAATAAATTCAATACACTAACAGCTCAATATCACTAAAATTTTTATATTTACGTCATTGAAGTGGATATATTGAGGTGAAGCTGCGGTTCTTGCAACGAGGTATCATCTTTCCACTTTTGTCCTTGTTGTTTTAAAATACTTTCATCACTCAGAAGAACTCTTGATGGATCAAATTCGAGCATCTCTTCTGGACCTTCTTTTAAAGATGCAGTTACTTCATATGACATTATTTCGTAATCAAAACCCTAAAACCACATTTCATCTGAATGACTTATTGGTTATTATCACGATCACGAAATACATACAAGTTACAAGTAATTTAGAAATATTGCAACCAGTGTTAGATATAAATATTTTTTAATAGATTTTCTATTGTTATTCTGTGTCTTAAATGAAGAGGTACATTATTACATAGCGAAATTAAATGATGGTTGTTATTTCACTTGTACATTTTAAGAATAGCTAGGTTTTCTTACAAAATTATTTAAAAATTAGAATGAATTAATTAATCAAAACATAAGTTCATCACGAAAATAAGTTTGTTTGCTTACGACATAAATAGACTCTAATGAAGTAAAGAACGATAAGGTTGTTGTTTAATTTCATTATTCTCACAAGTCTTATTTTATCGCGCTATATTTAGTAATCCAACACAAACTTTGTTGTTAGCAATAACGAGTAACATAAGTAATTCATTGGGTCTAGGAATAAAATTAATATATAAAAGAAATAAATACTTTTTCAGCATCCTCATGCACTTGGAGTGTGAAGTTTCTACAATGCTTTCTCTTTTCGGCCATGGAAACCTCGTATTGATAAAGACCATTTGAGGACACTGTTGTGAACACTGCATTTTTTAACTTCATTTCAATTGCTATATCTGTAATAAGTAATATATGTAGATACATAATATATTATTTATGTAATGATTTTTAATTCATGTCCTTACCTGCAGTTATATTTTCTGGTTTTAAAGGATAAACTCCATCGATACATGTCGTCAATACAAATTCTTTGTCACTCTTAAAACAAATAATTAAAAGTAATGTACAGTAGGCTTATCAAGTAACAAACAACATACTCTATAAGACTGTATTTTCATGAATTGGTTATAACTACGAGTAGCAAGTGAGTTAAAAAAAGAGTTACACACTTCTACGAAATTTTATTCCATTGTTTGATACGACTAAGGCAGACGGAAAAAATAAGTATTTTAGGTAACAAAATTCTTACCTCTTGATTTAAATCTGCTTTCAGTATTACTTTAATAAATGCGATAGTTTTAAAAATAACCACTTTGTTGTCTCTGGGAGATCCTACCGCTAGTTCTATAAGAGAATATAAGTACATTATAAAACGTTTAGTTATCTCTCGTATAAATTTAAAAATAGATAAGGTACTGAATATACCTTTACAACCATTCCCATCCAAGTCTTCCAATATAGTTAAGCTGAATCCAAAGGATTGGAAACCCTCGGGTTGAATTTTTCTCGGTTGAGATAATCCATCCAAAACACCAGCACCAGAGAAGAAGTACACTGCCCCGATTCCGTCTTCAAAAGGTGCTGCTATGACAATCTCTGCAAAAATTGAATTTGTTTTCATAATTTTCATTTAACTAGAACAAATAGAATATTAAGGTCTTTTTAAAAAGTGATTTTAACTTACCATCTTTATTATCTCCATCTATATCACCAAGACTAGCAATAGCGTGACCAAAGTAGCCTCCATAAGATAAACCTTTGATTTTTCGTTTCAGAAGCATTTTCTGAAATTATTATTTAAATATAAGTGTTTTTACCATCCTATACCCATTTCCATTCTAGTCGAATGCCATCATTATTTCGAACATTTCAATAGTTGTTAAAGTGATTACATATTTGGATTTAAATCTCAGGTTTCAATAGGTAATACTTGCTCGCTACGAGGTAGACTGCAAGTTCTTTTATATTTATTTAACAGAATTATAAGTATTTCTTTGTACTATCCAATATGACATACCTTCGAACCTTCTTCTGTTTGATCCAAATAAACGTATACAGCTCCCACATCATAGTTATAAGTTTTATCGAAATACGCCGGAGCTCCTACTAACAAGGCTTTTGTTCCTAGACGAACTGGACACAGAGCTGCTCCGAAAATCGAACCAATTTCTATATCTTTGATAATAGCTATATTTTGTAGCTTCGTGTCAAAAAAATAAACCTGTAATAATTCTTGTTTATATATATATATATATATAATAAAAACAATGTTAATCTTGTTATTTTACATAAATTTTTTATTTAAACCTTTCCAAATCCAAACGTAGAACTGACTGCGTAGACTGTGCTTTGATCAAAAAATTCTGCTATTGCTAAGCTGTAACCTGAGGATTTAAAACATATAAATAATTATGAAATTATTAATACATTAAAACCGTAAAATGCTTTAATTACCGTAATTGTGACGAGCTATGTTTTCTTGATTCATCTTATATATGAGTTTAGGGAAGTCTTTGCTGTAAGGATTTTCATATAACACCACACGACCTGAAAAAATACAAATAATTTTATTTTGTCTTTAGACAGTAAAGAATTTTAAGTGACGTGAAAAAAATATGTAATCAAAAAATGATATAAAAGTTGTCCTAGTACTAGAAGTAAATAATAAAAAAAGAGTTAGTTACCTGTCAACATTGCTGGTGAACCTATTAAGACTTGACCAGAGTTCGCTACGTCTATACTCCAACCCATGGAGTCAAAATTTTCTCCTGGAAAATATTTATAACAATATGAGCAAGATTTTATGAAATTAAATATTTTAGAGCGTAAAAAATTACAATGTAATTGTTGTTAAAATTTTAATTTTCTTTGAACAGTATAGTTTAGTTGTCATTAAACTAAAATATAAACTAACCAAATGTCTTTGTTCTTATTGACCGGTCTTCACTGCTCATATATGTGAGTCTTCTAGATATATATGTGTCCGAATTCGTATATTCAAATAAGACACATAGCCCTAGTGTTGCTGGGTATTGTGTACGAACTGAAATACGTTATAAATAATTTGTTAAGATTTTATAAGCGAAATGATATACTCGTATTTAACTGTTTGTTATGAAAAATACTTCAAAGACATTAAACTTTAAATGTAATAAATTTATAGAGAATGAATGTAATTAGTGAGTAACGAATGAAACGAATGAATGAGGAATTTGTTTATTAATTTTGTTTGTTACTTGGCTTTCGGATTGTTTTCAGTTCTGCGTATCGGGGAGCGCATGTCTGAAAAGAATTGCATTTGAATAATTTAAGTAACTAGTAAATTACTTTTAATCGTTCCTTATTTCAGACCGGTCAATACAAAAAAATATTTACTTACAACAAAGAAATTTGAATTAGCCTTCACTGTAGCTCCGAGCCAAAAGTTATGTTTGATAGTTGGCGCTAAAAAGAAAAAAAAAAAAAAATTAAAATGCGTAATGGATGTGCAGGAAGAAGAGAAATTCTTTAGGTTAATTATTAAGTACAGCTTAGCTATCAGAACCCAGAAAAGTTAGTGTGAGAGGACACTTGATTTATTTTTCAAGCTTAAGAACCTCAGTTTCCGTTCTTGTGGTAATATAATAAAAGAATGTCCTTGTCTGACCTCTTACAACACCCATCTTAATTTAGTATCAGAAATTAGAAATATGTTGAATTAAAAGTCATTTGAACTTGCGTAGAAGACAATATGAATCAAGGATATGAACGTAAGATAAAATCAGTTACAGAATTTTTTATAGCAAATTGTCCATAGATTGATAAATCTTCTCATCATTAGGAGGTGATATTGAGTGGAAGCAAAAAATGTATGCTTCACTTTGTAAAATAAAAGTACTTACTTCGTGGTAGAAATTTTGGGTCCAGTGTAACAGTTTCAATTTTTGAAGAATTCAAGGACAATGTAAAAACTTGTCCATTCTCGTTTTCAAGTGGTGACGAGATAATCAATCTAAAAATAAAATGTATATTAATTGATAATAAAATAAATGACTATGTTATATTTGAGCTAAGCTCTCAAAGCATTTTTATTTTTTATTTTTCTACGGTACCTTTGAATCCCTGATTGGTAAGCAATGCTGTAGCCAAACAAAGAATTAGTTTTGTTTGTATCGTGTTGGTAAATCTTCATGGAGGCGAGGTGGATGTAGCCGTGACATAATGTTATTATATTTACAACGAGCAAATTTAATATACCTAGACAGAAAACAATATTTATTCATGAAATAAGTATGAAACAACGATCAATTCAATATTTACGAAACTACACTACATACTACTAACCAAAAATCATGTCGACGTTGTATCACTATTAATAAACGTTTAAAATGACATCTCGTGATGATAAATTTCAAAGCTAGAATAAAAACTGAGTAATTTCTGTTTATAATTTACCGGATCGTTATAAGTATTGGTTTTCCTCAGCGTCAGCTCTTAAAATAATTACGTTTTTGATAACAGCACCAAAAACTCAATGTTAATTGATATTTTACATTGTATAAGTTACATTAAAATTAATTGTATTATTTTAGTATAAAATGAGGATGCAATTGAATATTTCGATGCCCAAACAAATATTGACAAAAGAATAACATTTTGTATGACAAAGAATTATAATGAAATCTCCTAAAACAATATTAGTATTACAATGGAAGTAATGTTTTTTCGATTGAGGAAAACATCATTATTTTTATCAGTGGTTCTGAAGCAGTAGCTTTTGTGAAGCGTTGTTATAATATTTTCCTGGAGGCGAGTATTTAATTTTAAAAATATATTAGCAAAGTATTTATAATTTTAATAGTTCCGTCGAGATACAAATGATTTTCATTATGAGGGGTGAGTTTTACTTAATTTTTATATACCATATTCAGAAATTAGAGAAATTTAAGTTACTTTAAAATCGCAATTTCATTATTTCATAAAAGCTGTGTTAAATAAATATAATAACGGGTTTTATACATATATCAATACTTAAAAAAAAATCAAATTTTTGTTACTTAGTTTAGGATTGTAATGGTATTTCAAAATTTTTAGATTAATTTTAATAATTATTCGAGAATAAAATTCTCCACATCTTTTAACCTCCTTCATTCGCTCATATAAAACATTTTTCAGGCATATATTTAATTATTTTCAATCTGCTATGTCATGAGGTTTACTCCGGTGGGTATTATTTTCATGAACCCTCGTATATTGAATTGACTTCACCTGGAAAGGACTTTGATTTCGGATTTTCAATTGATTACCATATTAAAACTAATAGTTTGGGTAAGTTTTATTTATAAGATTCAATAAAATAAATATGTGGTGTAATGGAAAATTCTGGAATGCGATTATTTTGATAGTTTATAAATTGGTTACTAAATTTTATTCGAATATTAGTGATTGGTGCACCCAAGAGCGATTTGGATGGAAAAGTTTTTACATGTCCTCTGTCAAATATAACAAACAGTCGAAACGGAGGTATAAAATGCAAAGAAGCATCTATTAATATTGAAAAAGTTGCATCAGATTTCAGAAAACGTAAGTACTTTTCGGTAACATATTAAGTTAGGAAACATGTTACAGAGAAATAAATGAGACAGTTCGGATAATTTGCTCTTATTTTGTAGTTTTTATTGCTTTTATGTTTCTCTATTTCTTTAAAATTTCTTAATTCATATTGATATTGTCCACAACAATTCTACAATATAAATGTTATTTTATTTATTTATTTTTATTGTTATTATATTTTTCATTAATTATTTTTCATTAATTTTTTTTTTTATTAATTATTTTTCAGCTCCAAGTGGAGGGAATGAACATCAATGCCACCTTGGGTCATCTTTGGCTGTAACTGACAGTTATTTTTTCGTAAGTTTCACATCTATTAATTATTTTTTTATTTTAAATGTTGGAAATTTTACGTTTAAGTTATGAAGTATATTTTGAAATCCTATTTAAATAATATTGTTAGTCACAAAGATAGAATAATTTTATATTGGGTGGACATGCACAAAATTTTATGTTAAATTATATTAGCTAAAACTAAGGGTTTTTACAGTAACGTTTAAATAATAATTAATCTATAAGTTATTAACAGACACAGTCTAAAAACTTTGTTGTAGTTAAGTTATTAGTTAGAACTAAGTTAATTTTTTTCAAAATATTAAATACATTGTCTAATCAAAATTGTTTTAACTTTAAAGACTTGTGCTCCTTTGTGTTCAAAATATCTCCGATTATCAAACGGCTCTTCAGTTTTTGGAACTTTTGGCACATGTTTTGTATATGATGGTGAAAATGCAACAAGATACTGTGGTCTTCTCGAAAAGTACGAACATAGAATAAAACCTATAGCAGCCGTTGGTAAGCCTTACTTATTCAGTTTTTGTTACGGCTTTGTACCGCTTAACGCCCAAAATAAAACCAATTATATATATGTATGAATTTTACTTGAATTATTTACTAAAAAACGTTTACGTCGGCTGTAATACTTGAAGCCTGACGGTTCATTGGGAATTTTGAATGACTCAAATAAGCCCGAGAGATGCTTATCCTAAATACCAACTGGTGCATTCAAACGGCATTATTTTTCTTTTTTGCTATTATATGTAGACGCCAAGCTATCGATAAAGCCATATCTACAAGATAATTAAAAAATACCCACCATCATTTTGTGTCTCTCTTTAGTAGCAATTCCTAGACATACAATCTGCAACGAGGGGCATGATTAGATCTTCGTCTAGAGACCAATGAGCACGTTTTGTGGGCAATTGGTGATAGCCTAATATCAAGAGTATTATTTTAGTTTTTGTCAATTTATTAGCAAATATAACATTTTATTTTATTTTTATTAATATAAAATATTAAATTTGCTAATAAATTGACAAAAACTAACTGATATGTCTATTATTACTTTACAATCAATTTAATGTCAATTCAAATAAATCAGAGGCACTTACATAATCGTTTATTCTCAAAACTAGTCCGTTATACTTGTTTTGTCACATTAAAAAATAAAATTTTATGGGTAGAAATAAAAAAAAAATACATTACTATTAATGGTGTATTTGCTTGTGGATGGCGGGCGGTAATAGGTTACTTTATTTGACACATGTTTTTATATATCTTGGTACTTTTAGATAAATTTTATGGAGGTGTAGGATGGACAACATTTTCGGATTACAATAATAAGATTATCCTAATAGCCAAGTCTATTCTGAAAGTAAGTAGTATTACTTACATAGAAATGGACTCACCTCTTAATCCAGTAGAAGAGGTGCCAATGCATAGCTCATTAAATATATTTTATTACAAAGGTATGTAAAATTTTCGTATTATATCTTATTAAACTTCAAGATTCTTGATTAATCACTATTTTGTAAACTTATTTTGTAGGTCGAGCTTTTGCAACTGGAAAATTTTTCAATGATAAAAGAAATCTATATGCTTTCAGTATGAAAAAGGAAAAGCAAACAGGAGCGGTAATATAACTAAACTTAATATAAAGAAATGATTAGAAATTAAGTGACTACGAGAAAATAATCATGTAAATATTTCAGATTGCTTTCATATACTATGACAAGAAACTTCCAAAGAAATTACAAGTGTTAAAAGATAATGGAAACCCTGTTTTAATCTTAGACAACAAGTCCGTGTCAATGTTTGGGACTTCATTGCATAGTGTGGATATAAATGCAGATGACTTCTCAGAGCTTGTTGTTGGGGCTCCAGGCTTTTCTCAAATAGATGGTGGTTATGAAAACGGTGCTATATATTTATATGAAGGTGGAGGGCCAGTACGTTACAGTTCTATCTTTTGATGTTATCCAACTAGACTATTTAATATTTGTACTTCAAAGTCACCGAAATCACAATTTGTTCTATAGCACAAAAAGTGAAATCATAGCTAACAGCGTGAATAAATAAAATAACCAAATTAGTTCTCATATATGTGAATTATAGGCTCATATGTGTATATACATTAAAGATTACGTTCAAAAGTAATAGTAATAAATTGAAAAATAATCACAGGATACATCTTTTCTGATCGTTATTTCAGATTATGGAGAGAAGAGAACCGACACACCGTATTATAGGTAACAAAGATGGTTCTCGCTTCGGTTCATCCATAGCTTCCACTGATCTGGATGGAGATGGTTTACCAGGTAATAGGTTTTCCAACAGCCGATCTAAGTCTGCTTAGTTTCTGAGGCAATAAAAGTAGTAGAATGATGCAGAGTAGAACTACAAGGCGGCAAAACTAACTTAACAGTCCATAGTACATATTGTAGTGACTTAGATTATTTTGAAGTATGTAGTGTTTTAAATTTTTATTATAATTATTTTACTAAATGACTGAATTACTGAAAAATTGTCGATTATAATCAAAACGTGATGAAACTTTTTTTAATAATAATAATAATATTTTTTACTTATGTAAATTATCAAAAATTGATTGTTTGGAAAAGAAATATGTAGGTCGACAGATAAAATCATTATTAATAATATTTTATGGCGAAATACAAATAAAAAATATGTATAATTAAATATACATAATCAAAATTTCAGAAATTTTCGTTAGTGCACCTTACGAAAATGGAGGCGCTGGTTCTGTATACGTTCTTTTAGGATATGAAGTGAAGAAATTACTCCGGAGTTCAGTTAAGGAAACCTCATTATCTAGCTTCATGTATTCCCAAACTTTAGAGATATCAAAATTTAAATCCTTCGGCTATAGTCTTCATTCATTTACCAGGAACGGTGTAAATTGTGAGTTCACTCTTTTAATTAATAAATCCCTTTTAACCGTATTTGGGATCATTTTTTTTATTATTTCGTTCCAGTCTTAGCAGTGGGTTCGCCATCCAGTGGTAAGATTGCATTATATCGTAGCATATCCTTTATCAATGCTACGTTGTCAATGTACCTCAAAGGAGATAAGGTAATAAAAGATATATTAATACAAATAATTAATACCTAAATGGTCTGACCAGCATTAGTCTATATAAGAACATTTTTTTTCATTATTTAAAAACACCTTTAAAGTATAAATTTGCTGTTAAAGATCATGCTTGGAAAAGTAACAAAATATATAGCTATTAGAAAATCAAAAATCTTTTTATTTAAAGGTTTAATTTATTTAATAATTTATGATAAATTTCATATTTAAATTGATTTAAAATATAATAAATTTACAGGCGGTTCGAGAACAAGATGAAAATTTCGTAGCAGTCATAAAAATTCAACTGGGCTATCCCGAAAATATATTAGATACAGATATAAGTGAGTCGCTAGTGTAATGTGGTATTGTCTGTTTAAACTTTAAAGGATGTTTATTTTTAAACACAATGTTTTAAAATATTATTTTTGAAAAATTACATTTTTTATGAGACCTAAGACTCACGCGAGTATTCATATAAATTACACTAATTATATTCGGATTACTATTCACAGTTAACGTAAAATTTTAAGCAAAAGATTATTTATTAAAGTAAAAATCCTTTCTAATATTCATGCTCGCTTAACCTACATAGATATTATAACTGTTTCAATGATTGAATTTCTTTTTTAACTTATACATTCAAGAGGTAATAAAAGGGAAGTGCCTTCTCTTCCTACCTTAAATCGAAATATCGATAATTAAAGCAGAATTGGATCTATAACTGCACATCTCAAAGGCATTTGAGGCTTCTTATCACCATATAATTCCCAAAAAATAAGTACCTTAATACACTAAAGCATGCCAGTCTTAAATATTAAAATCTAAGGAACTTTCTTCTCAAAATTTTCTGGAATTTGAAGTCGTGGATTTTAATTTTTAAACACTTTAAGATATACAATTTATTTTAAGAATTATTCCTGTGTACCGATCTGTCTGGAGACGAAGCTAAGATTCAGAATAAAACAATAATTGAGTTCAATTTATCGAAGGAAAAACCATCCGAAGTCATATTTAACATTGTTGTACTGTTGGTAAGTTCATAATTATTTATTAATTAATAAAAGTAATTTTAGTATGACATAAGAAAGTGAAATGTTGCTTGCTAGCTAAAAATGGAAAATCCATTCCCTCTCTGTACGTAGTATTTAATATTGTAACTATGAGTTCGTGTAATAGATGTAAATTAATAAATAGAATAAAATTCAATTTAAATAAAATAAAATAAGAAATTTCTTAAAAAAAACAATCTGTTACCCAAAATATTATATTATTAACTAAAATATATATTTTTCTATAATTAATTCATGCAAATCCTTGAAAACAATACATATATTTTAGGCTAGGAGAGGCCCTGGAGATTATAAGATAACTGCTAAAGTGAAAACAGATTTGGAAATATCTGAAGAACGTAATATTATACCAAAAGGTAAACTACGCTTTCAAATTTATGTTTTTTAAATTTTAAATTTCCTTATTACTATTAACTAGCAGTAGAAGTGTGAAAATATTTATTCCTGTAAGGATTGCTTATTGTAATTTGTTTATAGAATTCAATAGGTCATTAGTGATGATAACTCCGCAAAGTCATAGAGAGGCGGTTTTAGAAGTGTCGCGACACTGTAAGGGTGACGAGTGTGTTCCCCAACTGTCTCCTTTTTTGGAATGGTCTGGCAGGTACAAATACATATATGGAAAAGACTAATAAAATGAGATTTAAAATAACAATTTCTTTAAATTCAGAGTCAAAGTTTAGATAAAAGTTATCAAGACGAATAAATTAGACATAATATCTTTGTAGGTCACCTGATACATACCTGTTAGGTTCGAGTGTGAAAGAGACAATGAAGATAAGTATTTTGAATGAAGGCAGCAATACGTACGATTCTTGTGCATGGATAAAAGTTACAGGAGCTCAGGTTAGACAAATTTTATTTTCATAATTCCATGGTTTATATGAGAGATCATGCAAGTAGTTTTTTAGAAGACCTTATTTCTCTTGCACTTTATTTTGTTACACAGAAGAACAACCTCTTTTTTCACAGGTTGCAGTATTAGCATGTGTTCAGCACAATGACACTTGGTATAAGTGTGATTTAAGAATTGAAAGGGATGCAACGGTAAGGGAATGTAATATTCTATTTTTAAAGTAATAATTATTATAATATTGAGTTTTGTTTCTTACCATTTCTATTATCATAGAAGTTAGTTTATGATTATCTTTAGAAGTTATACAATATTAGTCCACTTTTTTAACATTCTCTCTAGTCTCTGGAATTATTAATATCTTCCTAAGTATTTCTCTGGTAAGATGTCTAATGTTCGACCTGGGTATCGAGTGTGGGTTCAATGATCAAGAAGATTCGGTAGAACGATTGTCCACTAGCCGATCACATGAAACTTGTTCTATACGTTTATAACAAAATGGAAAAACGTAAAAGGAATTAAAAAGTATTTTATAGCAACTTGTCCTTCCAAATTTGGGGTGTTTGCAATACTAGAAAAAACCTTTTACAAAAAATCAAGAAAGCCTGTTCGTTTAATGGCTTATAATATTTAATGTAGCCCATCTCTTATCTCAAACGTGAATAATCGACATGGTCCGGTGTCCGTATAATGTACAATTATGTATATATGTTACATAGGATTTGACAGACTATGCTACTGCTGTCTCCTCAGTTTCCACGACGATACTCTCTGTATGACTGCTTAATATAAGGCCAAACGTACGCTACTTTAATCCGGACGCGATACATGAAAAATTGTCATGAACTCCAATTGTCTTAAATTTTAATGATATTTGACTATTTTCCCCTCATGTCAGAGAAAGACGAAATAGGACTTTTGAAATCGATCCTGAAGAAGTTATAATTTTCTAAAATTTATACAAAGTGACGAAATTTTGAATAAAATTAAAAATTCAAATTAATCATTTCATTATTCAACCAAATAATTAATCTTTTCTTTTCCAGAGTACTATTGATATACAGTTAGATATGAGCCACCCTACTAACATGGAAGAAAGCCTAAATATTAAAGTCCTTCTATTCAACCACTGTGCCTCTTTAAGTTCGAATGCAACTTCTGAAGAAAACAAGAAAATTACTTACACATTATCTTCTGAGCACCTATACGTTGAAGGGTAATATATTTTTTCAATTATTCTACACTTTTTCAAACTTACTTATGTTAATATTACAAGTGGAAATTACAAGCCTTGGACGTAAATATATATATATACATATATATTTGTGATACTTTTTGTTTTTAAATAATAATAGAATAGATTTAAAACAATGCCTTGTTAGATTGTTTTTACACATGGAATTAAGTGCAACAAACACAAAAAAATATTTGTAACTCTCCAAAGATTCCGAGATATACAAAGTTATATAGTTAAGGCAAATTAGAAAACTATTTTAAGTTATATCAATTATACAATTGTGTTCAGAAAGTATTATTGTCACAACGATAACTATTTTAGGTCATCCATGGATCGAAACTTCACGGAGAGTGAACTGAAAGATTTGGGAACAAATGACACTATAAGCGTTCACGAAACGTATAAGGTGATTATTTTAAAAATTAAACATATTTTTAATAATAATTTTGATTTGCCTAACGAGTCTATATTTATTTTAGATTACAAATAACGCCTCGATATCTTGGAAATCTGTAGAAGCTGTACTATCACTACCGAACTTGAATTTCATACAGAATTATTTAGTAAGTAATTTTAATTTCATATTTTGCTAAAAATTTAATGTTTTTATTATTAGTTATTCGTACCAAAAAAAGTTCGAATTCTATGTTGATTAATAACAGTCTAAATTAGTAACTATTTCAGATTGTGGATGAAAATAATTGCAAAACAAACAAAACAATTGAAACAGTGCAGATACAATGCTTTATTAATATTGAATCAAACTCGACTTATTTCATACGCACTGTGGCTAGTTTATTTAAATCAAAAATGAGTAAGTGTTAATAAATTAGTCTTTGTATATGTTTTTTATAAGAACGAGAATAAAAATTTTGTATAACTATTAAATTTTAAGTCTAACCATAACTTTAGTTTTGTTTACAGTTATTGTGTTTCATATTTTTTACCTAATGTATTTTTAGGTTCACACTTTAGGAAAAGACAGTTGATTTTGAATTCAAACCTAATGCTTTTTATGTTACCGACAACAGAAATAAAAACTGACGGGTAAGAAACGAAATTTAGGTTTAATGTATGTAAAAAGCTGTTATTTTTAATTAACTTTCAGTATCTCGAACATAAATAGTATAGAAAGGTCAGGTCAGTTTTAAAAACTTCAGACAATTGTTGAAAAGACTTAATTGAATGAATTTTGTTGATAATTCCTATTTATTTTGGACTATCCGACATTATTATAAAAAACCTAAGACCAATACAAAAAAAGCATCTTTTACGCTTATATAACCTATTTTAATTACGCAGATTTTCAACACGAATGTTTTTGCAAAAAGATTCTGAATTTTGGGAAAGCGAAACATTTATAATAACTGTTTCTACAATAGCGGCTTTAATGATAGTGGTCATTATTGCTGCCATTCTTTTTAAGGTTTGTTCCTTTTATTTTAATTTACTATTACACTAAATAGTAATTATTATATTTCATTTTATGACCAGTTTATTTAAATCCTGATTATATTAGTTGTAATCGAAGTTGTTAAGCCACAAATAATCCTAGTTTTTCAATAAGAAAAAGGTCCACGTCCACGTCCAGGTTTCTTTTAATGTTATAATAAAAATATATATATCTTTTAATTTATATTTTCTTTCAATTAACCGAAGTTAGATATTTAAGTAATAAGTTAATTGAAAGATTGTCGCTTTCAGATGGGCTTCTTTGTAAGAAAAGAGAAAAAGAAGTTAAACAATCTCAGAGACTCAATAAGGAGAGGAACGTTTGTAAGTTGTTTTGTGTATTTTTCTTTTATTTTGTTATTATTAAAAGTATGTTCTGATAAATATTTAGGTTCCTTTAACTTTATCCTCATTTAAATGTTCTGTTAAATGCAAGCGTTTCGTACTTTTTAAAATTTTCGTAAATTTGAAGATTGCATACCAAAATGTCATAACATGTTATTTATTAAATGTATGTTGCTATTTTACGTTCTGGCAACATTCATGTAGATTAATTAACTATATCGTATATATTCTGACATGTCACTTCAATTAAGTTATGACCATGCAATGCGATTGTCCTAGGATTGATATCCTAATTTGCTAAATCTGTCAGATACCCCTAACCAATTGAAAATATTGTTGAAAAAAAATATTATGTCATAAGTTACTTAATGTTATTTTTTGTGTAGCGACGTCCTTCTGCAGCAAATAGTAGTGAAGCAAGATGTTCTTTACCAGAAACACAGACAAAGGAGGATTAGAAGTTCTATATTACTACATTAATATGTGCTCGTTTACTACTACTTGTCATTAGTTTTTATAATTAACATTAAAATACTATTTAATATCTAATATTAGGAGTCGATATTCTGTATTATAAATAAGTTGTTTGATTGTCTTTGCTTACAATGGATAAGTTTCAAAGTACAATATTGGTATATATAATATTCAAAAAATTATATTTTTACTTTTTGTGTATTACAGATGTATATTTGTCAATAAATAAGTATATTATTAGTTCTGACATTGAGTAAATATAAAATTAAAAGAGTGATTTATGTTGGTATGTATTATAATTAAAATTAATGTTTATGATTTAAGGTTTATGTTGACAACTTTTATCAATTAAGATAAAATTATTGAGTAGCATTTGAATGAGATGATACAAACTAAATACAACTACACTAAGGGTAATATAAAAATAAAAGTAAAGTTGGAATCTTAATATATTTTTTTAGAATATTACTTAAAAATTTTACAATATATTATTTCATAGAAAATAATGATGTTTTCATATTCCTTTTAATCCTTTAACTTTTGAACCTATTAATATCTCACCTTACTTTAAAATAATATACAACATTGTGTGTGAAATAAGTAATAATAATATTTGTATTGTTATACTAATAATCAAAACATAAATAACGCAAATTTAACCAAGGTTTTTAATAGTAACCAAGGTTGCGAGCTTCTTTTGTTAAGCCGATCATCATTTGAGTGACTTCCTTTCCTTGTTCTGGGATCTTCGACGCTGGCCAGTGGAAAGAATTACCGCGTAACTCATATGTGTAAACGAGTGGTGTATTCAATTTGTTACGAACCCAATCCATACTTCCACCTGATGCTTTATCTGTTCAAAGCAAGTATCATAATGATTATAACAAATTAACTCCTATTATATGACAAAAATCTTTATTTAAATTATATTTTACTCTTCACGTACACAGGGTCTCCGCAGCGGTACCAGGTCCATCATATCTTATTTGATTCACCTTGTATCCATATTCTAGAGAAACGTTACCGATTTTTACCTGGATGAACAAACAATCTAAATTGTATTATAAGTTTTAGTAAGTAGGTAGATTTTAAAGGTGATTTAGCTTACAGGTAACATTTATCATCGAATATCTAGCTTTTATATTTATAAGATAAGAAATGTATTGTTTATACATAATAACACTTTATACTCAGATAAAGTCAATAGTTTTTGCCAATGTACATTTAAATACAAATAGATACTGATAAACAGAAAATTTTCCTGGAGTTAAAAATAGGTAGCTGAAAAGGCAGGTTCACAATTAAGTTCAGGTAAATGCAAGAGAAAGATATATGATAAAATTGAATATAAATCTTACCAAGTCATCATAATTGTCGATGTGGTCAGTTGAATCTGAGTACGGAACCAATAACAATGCCGCATAAGAATGAAAAGCCACATAAAATAAAAGGTTATCGATGTTTGAGATATATGATGATAGGGTTCGCGTTTCTATTTCTGAAAACGGCTTCGAACCAGCATATAGCTGATAGTCACACGGATTATCTGATGATGAATATTCTGAATAAAAGGAAAATATTATAAATAAATGTTTCGTCATTTATTACGAATAATATAAGAAGTGTCGAGAATAAATATTATATATCATTCATTATTGAGTTTCTGGATACTGTATAGGTATCATAGAAAAAAACTTACGTCCCCAATTATAATCCCAATTTCTGTTTGGATCAGCACCTATACAACCGTTTTTCGAAAGTGAACGAGTCTTCCTCCAATAACGATCCTGTACATACATTTTTAGAGTATATCTTCAGTGTACATAAGAAAATTTATTGAAAAAACTAATTTCAAACATTAAACACTTCAAAACGTATATATAATATATCATGATTAGGTCATAAGCTTCTAAACTGACACGCTAATTAACAATATGTCATGAAAACATTATTTTCAATGCTAAAATATAAATTCTATACCTACCATAAATTACAATTTCAGCTCCGAAATTTCCAAATGATCGAAATTGGAGATATTGTTATTAAAATGTAACTTTGATCATTAAATGTCTTTAGAAAAACGAAAATGAATTTGCTTTTAATATAAGGAAATATTTCTATTCAGTGTTTGTAATTGGAGGAATTGGCAAGAGGAGTTGTAATTTAAAACATTAATATTTATTCGGAATAAGAAAACTTTAAAGAACTTTGGATTACACTTGGCTACGTTCTGACACAAAAGTAGCAAACTTAGAATTGTCTTCGACATTCTTTAATAAATGTTTGAAATATTCTATTAATTGAGTTTAATGGCACGATAAACGACATCTGATTAAACATTACTCACAAATATATAGCTGTAATGATATCCATCGGGATTAACAGTGGGGAAGATCCGCCAGTCAAATTGATCCCTCAATCTTGTTACATTAGGATCGTTGCTGGTAAGCAGTTGATTGATGAAGTACGTAGTCGTGGCTGGAGCTATCCATTCTCGTGCATGTATTCCTAAAGAGCAACTGTCAATATCTTATCTCTCGGTTTAGTGATGAAACGCAAAATATACAAAGGCCTTTTTGTTTAGCTACACAAGAAATATAATGGTAGAATAAAACAAAAACTTCGTCTCACATTTCAGGCAGTTGAATAACTAAATCTAAGCACTTATTTACCTGATTCGATAAAAAATACAGGCTTATTCGGATTATCGTCACCGTCGACCGGCGTATTTATTCTGAGCCCTCGTATTTCACGTCCCTCGTAACTCTTTCCGCCCACTATCACCTCTGCCCATTCTGGATGCGACCTACTTACGTCTGCAAGGTATGCGTATATCTGAAAATTATAGCTTTATGAATTTTTGAATATCCAGTGTTTATTATATTCAGACTTTACAGTGAATAATCATAACTTTATGTAGATATGACTTTAAATTTAGTTTTTAATTAATATAATGTAATTTCTATTCTTAATGTCTTTGATCACATTCTCCTTTGTTTTGTTAATAGATTTTTTTCCTTTTAGATTAGGTCGCGCTAAATTTATGAGTGCAATTATTATTAAATTATTGGAAGAATAAAACTGTATAATTATTTTGACGTCATAGCCTTATCGCAACAGCTTATGTGAATATTAATATATCGCAACTTTTTGTCAAGAAATTAAATATTACAACAAAACTGGAATTGACTGTTGTCGTAGTGAAGTATGTGGGAAGTATAAGGAGCACAAAATTATAGGTCAGCTCCAAGACTTATACAGTAAAATTTTTAGTGTTCGTTTATAAAAGGTGTTTTGATTTAATTCTTATTATTTGTTAAATATAGTATAATATACTTGCTTCTTTAACATCGTAGTAAGCCGTCCAAGAATATTTATATATTTTTTGTATTTTTGATGGCTTCTCTTCTCGGAGAACCCTAAAAACGATCCATCATCTTTAATAAAATGTGTCTCAAGAAGGTTCTTTCCTTGTTGAAAGTAATAAATTAAAAAGTAATTCTTAATGACTTGTAAATACATCCACAACAACAATATTGACTTACTCAGAAATATCATTATGAAGGAGCGTAGCGTTCAATTTAACTTTTTCAATAATTTCTTTAAAACTGGCTTCCAATTCTGGAGCAATCAATAATTGGGTTGTCCTTCTATTGTCTAAATAAATTAGGGAATCCTGAGAAATTTATAATAGGTATTTAAGTTATATTAAGAGAATACTTAAGATAAAATAATTTTTATGCGCATTTATGTTTCTTTTAGATCAAAAATTTTTAAACAGTAAGTTTCAAATTGCTTTTAATTTTTGCTCAAATACCAACATTTTAATTAAAGACACCAACTTAAAGTTACCTGAAGTTTTAATTTAATCACTTAATTGTTTAATTAAACAAATCACACTTACATCTTTCTCTTGTAGTAAAGTTTTCAAATCTTCCAAGGAGCTGCTTCTACCTTTTACATCGTAGTATTTGTAGTTTTTGTACTTTTTAACTTTCTCGACAGTATATGTCCTCGTTAATCGCACAAAGGCAATAAATATAAAAAGACGTGTCACCCACATCATTCACTTGTTTATTGTTTTTATTTAAGTGTAGAAAGCCTTTTATTTATAATGTTTCATATAGAACTGTTAACAAGTCCTGAACAAGTAAGAAATGTTACACACCGATAGCTATAAATTATCAGAAATTCAAATAATTTTAGTTATATTTCGATTTGTTAATTTAATGCTTCTCTAGTAATACATAAACGTAAATTTTATGTTTTTATTTTTATTTTAAATTACTTACATCAATTTAAAAAAGGATTAAAGAGTGACCATATAATTAAAAAAATAGAGCTCTCTAGCCGTACATGGGAAGGAAACTACTGGATAAATTTGAACACTATTTAAAATTTTTATATCACAGAAACTTATTATTATTATCTATATATTAATGTATCTTCAAATAATTTAAAGATTTATAGAGGTGCTCCTTTTATTAGCAGTAATTGTTCAGTGATGTTTGCTTTCTTGAACATAATAAAACTTTGGTAATATCAAATAATCGGACAAAATTGTGATTATCAATTAGTTATTCTATAAATAATCACTCAATATATTGACAAACAACTGACGGTGTGCAAAGTCCTTGCAGTTAGGAATCTTGAGAATGTTTGATTATCGTAAGTGCGGGTGCTTACTATTTACTGATAATTCTATCACGTAGTAAAATAATGATTTTAGTGGTTTGACAATTTAAAACATATATAGTATTTATAAATAAAAATAGTAAGATAATATCAAGCAATTATTTATGATAAGACAGTTATATTTTAAACATCACATTATATATGTATATTGGCGCTATCAGCTTTAATAACGGATGCGACTTGAAAATAATTTGAGGCTGTCATCAATTCTTATTAAACCTCATTAGTATTTATGATTATTGTTAAAAGTAAAACGAAATCAAAGGTTGCTTAATAGGAGAATAGAGCTATGTTTAAATCTTGGTATAAATATGACGTCTGGACGCACGACGGCAGACTTCAGAATTGAGAATTCAGAGTTCAGTGAGTGCGTATCATTATTATGAAGAACCTTCGAGAAATACAGGAGCATTAAGAATAATTGAAGTTTCATTCTAAAATATCATGGGCCGTTCTAGAAGAAGTGACATATGTGAAGTCAGCGAGGCTGGCGTCCCTCTCCTTTAAAAACAACAAATTGTGTAATAAATCCGATATATGTAATATATAGATAATTTGTTAGTATAGAAGGTGAATTAGGTACTTTAAAATGTATACATATGTATGTAGTGAAAATATATTCGTATTATCACTATACTATTGGGTTGTTAGCTTTTCTCTCTAAATAAATTAGTAAATTATATTATAGCCTCTTCGTCTTATGCGTATTTTGTAAGCTTTAAGTAGATACTTAGAATATATTTAGATACTGTGAAATTAGATAATCATTCTTATAATTTTCTAAAATGATGATATTGTGTGATGGGAGACTTCAAACACAGGTAGATTAGAGTTGAAAATCTATTGTCTATGATATTGTTTTCAATAGATCATTCAATCTTTATCAGATAAAAGTCAATGGAAAATATAGCTCTCGGCGTATTACTTCACTTGAAGGGGCATGTTTGGTATAGATATATCTTGAAATTATATGAAAACACAGATTAAGATTTATCAAAAATATCATGTAAAGGTTAAACACTATTTGTTTTTGTATTCTGTGGGGAAGAACCTATTACTTTCAACATATTTTTAACAATTTAGTACAGTAGTCAAGTAAACTTACTTATTTGAAATGGTACAAAATTATGTCAAATAATTAATTGAAATAAAAAAAAACATTTACATCATAAAAAAAAACATAATTACATCATAAAAATCATATTGAAATTCCAATATTTTATTATAGCTTGGTCTGCATTACGTAAATATATTTTTAATAATATGTTAATTGTTATACAATATAACAATTACATTTTATTAAAGAATTATACAATCCACTTGTATTGTATATAATACTGTATATACAATCAAGATTAATTGTAATTAATTTAAAAGAATATTTTATATAGACGTACTGAAAGATGCGCTCATAAATTTGAATGAAACAGAGAACAATTCGAAATTATTTCACTTCATATTCAATTCAATATCACATTCAAAATTGTATTTATATTTATCTTATTGTATGTTCGTCTGATTTAATGCAATCAAGAAATTTCTTTAAATTGTTACTCATTGTTTTTCATTTGTTTATGAGTTTTAAACTAAAAGTACAATTTGTTAAAGTAAAATTTTATTTTAAACTAACCAATACTCGACCTTTCTTAATTTGTTATAATCATGTTTTTAATTCAATGTCTTTAAAATGTGTTCATTGTTTTATACTTTAAGAACATATTTTTAATTAGCTATGAATTTGTTTAATGAACAAGGAAAATTATTATTTTTATTCATTAGGCGAACACCAAAATAACTTTAAATTTTTACACAAAAACAGTAATATTTTGTAGATTATATAGAGAACAATATTATTATAATTTCAAACAGTCGTGTTAGATACGAGACACTTGTTTTTTAACGAATGTCTGAGAACGAGTTCCAATAACAAAGTTTTGATGAGAAAGGGAAAAGTAAGACATAAGTTCGATTTCTCTTTGTTAACTGAGTTTTCGATTAACACAGAATTTTAGAAGAAAAGACAATCCATTAGGAACTTAATTGTTACACGTTTATACTATGATATTATTATACGATAGGTATATTTTATTGTAAGTAACAAAAAACCTTCAATATCAGTAATCAAAATAATCTCATAAAATTCCAAAAAGGTCACGAATTTTTTGGTCTTTGAAATGTTTTTTTTTTTACATAATCAAGTTTCTTTCCAATCATTATAATAAGGACAACAGAAACATTTATTAATACATCATAATTTCAATAAATTTTCCTTTACTTTGATTGTGAAATTAATAAAATGCATGAAAGTTGTCATATTTACATATATAAGTTGTTGTATTAGACCCTCGATGTAATAATCTCAGATCACGATCATTTAATCACGTTATATTTCCCAATCTTATTATTATAAATTTATAGGTGGTAGAGCCTAGCTGTGGTGAGTTACTACAGCTCGAACATGGGCTGGCTCGACCGGGGAAGTACCACCCTCTCACAGAAGATCGGCGTGAAGTAGCCTTTACTGGCTGCGTTTCGTCTGATGAGTGAGAGAGCCGGTTGCCCTTTCCCTATTCCTACCCTTTCCTATCATTTCCTTATTCCCACCCCTCCCTACCCCCAAAAAACAAGGTTGGCAATGCATCCGCAACAAAATGTTGCGGATGTCCATGGGCGACGGTAACCACCTTCCATCAAGTGGGCCGTCTGCTCGTTTGCCACCTGTCACATAAAAAAAAAAAAATCTTCTAGTATAGAAATAAATAATCACTCACTCAAAAACTTAAAAAATACAAAATATAAAACCAAGAAAAAGTTATAATATTGTAATGATTAACTAAAAAAGATACTCCATAAACTGGTAAGAATCATAATTTCCTTGATTGGAGACTACAACATCGGCCGCTAGTATCTTTATCGTCCCTCAATTATAGTCACACCCATTGGTCGAATGGTCGAGGATAAGAATGGACACTTGTGATTTGAGACGATATACTATACGCTAGGAGTCTTTTAATGTTTTGTTCTTGATTCTGGAGGGTAGAAGGGTCTGAAGATGGCTACTCCGCACGCCTCCCTTAGTCAGTAGCAAGTACATTAAGTGGGCTAGTAACTCATAAAAGGCTACCTTGCCACCTGTGTTGGTTGCCGACCGGATGAGAAGAACTAATTGTGATAACTGGGGGATTCTGGCATCCCTGTAGACTTAATAAAATTTTATATAATATTATTATATGTATATAAACATATACAAGAAATGTAACAAGTAATTTATGTTATAATCTCTTGTTATAAGCTCATTATTTTTAGTATCGCACTACTGTACCTTTATGGTTTTCAATGGTTAAACGAATAATATTTATATTTTGACATATCTAGTTTGAAGGAGTGGTTTATTTTGTTAGTGGGATATAATTGTCACAGATTTAAAAAATATTTTGAAATAAATTCTCTTTGTTATAAAATCAATTTATTCGTAGCTACGTTGGAAGCAATTTTTCTTATACTGTTCTCATTTATTTCTAAACAATTTCTATAGACATATTGTAAGATAAGAGTGGACTAGCCAATTTGGATAAATTGTAAGCACGCCAGCCAATTTCTTGATTTTTCTCTAATAGTATAAATGAAAAGGATTTTTTTTTATCACGGATCTTAATTCATTTTATTTTGACTTCGAAAATTCTTTTCAGCTTAAATAAAGTTGCAGTTTCTTTCGTTTATAGGAAAATGAAACAATATTCAGGCCGTGGATTTCACCTCAGGCCATTATTTTCGATTGCGGTTTATCAAAAAGGATCAAACGATCTGCCCCTTACCTTTGAGTATGGTTACATGATCAAAAAAGAAAACATAAAAAGCCTTGAAATGTTCTCACATTAAACCTGTCAAATTGCACATTACGTTATTTACATATTTTTCATTAATTCGCCCTCTCAGTGGCTTTATGGGTCAATCCAATATTTTTAGGAGTTTATTTTTGGCACAATTTAATTTCGTGTTTTTATTATTATGTTTTGTTCTATAATTAATTGAAACTCGAAAAAAAGTAATTTCTTTATCATTGAATCTAAAAATAAGTAGGTTTTTCAGAGAGGTATTAAATTAAAACAATTATAATATAACCTGCTTTAGAGTTCAGTACAACAGAACTCAAAAACGTTGTTACAAAATAGCATTAAAATATCTATTGAAGCTTAAATAACGTGGAGTAAATAAGAAGTCTGTGGATGAAGTTTAATTAGATCGCCATTACTGTAGTACAATAAACATAACCTCCCATGTTCCTCGGTATACAAATCGTTTAGTATAAGACAGACAACAATAACCAGTGAGTTGCACGTATCGAATAGAGGTTCGAATTACTGTAGG